GGCAAGATTATGCGCAGAATTCTCCGCAAGATCTTGGCTGGCGAGGAGGATCAGCTTGGTGATGTTACGACTGTAAGTTTTAGCCACCCTTTGTATGAGGAAGTCGTGTTTGCTAACGCAAAAGACAGCTTTCGGATCCCTCCATTGTTGAAAAAATTATCAACATTGTCCACGAGGAGAAGAGGAAGAAGTAAATGCATGATGCCGATGTTGGTGAAGTGAGAGTGAGAGACAAGAGAGACGTGAGTGATACCACAGGAACAGAGGAGGATAGGACAAGCAAGGTACGAACCGATCGGTTGATGCACCGTCCGCCTTGGAAACCCCACGAAAGGATTTTTAGGGTTACTACTTCTTGCTTTTGCCAAATAGCGAACCGTATACTGAAATATTTTGCGTCAAATGCCAATGAAAAAAACATGGAAACTTACACAGCCTGTCTACCACGTGCCATGTCTTTCGCGCCCGGCTCGATATCGGATTTAGTACCTGTCCCTCCGACCTACTCGATATCCTGATGACGGGTGGGTAGTTCATTCAAGAATTTGAGACATGTTTTCTACCGAGCAACAAGTCGGCTTCGACATCGTTATCAAAGTCGAGGAGGGCTGTGTCGACTCATAGGTTCCTCATAGTAGACGAATTTACGCATACCTTTGCCACTAAGGCTCAGCTGCCATCTCGAATACCGAAACATCAGCCAGAACGGCAGCCGATCGACGGTGGAGCAGTGACGGGAAATCGGAGAGAAGAGAAGAGAGGTCCGTCCGTTATATCTGCAGCTTGCTGACACTCGGATCCCCCCGTCCCCCCGACCCCCACTCTCATGCTCGGCGCTCCGTCCGCGCCCCCTTCGGAGGGCAAAGCCCGGGCTGTGTACGGGGCCGCTAGCGCAGGCACTGCTCCGTCGGTCGAGAGTGTGAGGTCTATTCTTTTCTTCTATATGTTCAAGGCCCGGTATGTGCGCTAGTCGGCATGCAGTTGCTTTTCGAGGCCGAAAGATATGTAGAGGAGGGAAGAGAGAGAGAGAGAGAGAGAGAGAGCGCACGGTTTCAGCGGGAGATGCGTGACGCTAGAACGGCACCATTCACGGCTTCGCGGGACGGATGACGTGGTTCTACAGCTTTTGCTATGCGGCTGTCTGTACGTTGGGAATTGTGTTAGGTATGCGGTTGGGGAGCGAGTATGCTCTTGGTTCGAGTGGGGTGCGCCTCTGTGTCGTGCCGTTCTGTGCAGATCCGGACCGAGAGACATCTTGCAGAGGGAGTACTATTTCCTTCTACGACTATGAAGGAGGATGAGGAGGAGAAGGCCTGGCCGTCTACCTAGTGGGACTGTTACCGGCGCTTCCCCGGAATGTCTGGAGTCTGCCATGGAAGCATAGCCTCACCGCGTTGCATGACTACCTACCTTTTCTTCCTTTCCATTCGGAGGGGTTGGTATAGACGGATCATCTTGGAGGTATTTGGGGGGGGGGGCAAAGTCAATGTGTCGTCGTCATCACAGTTCTCAAGGACCGAACATCGCCTTGCTGGATCCATCCTCCCCCCATTCCGTAGCTTCTTGGCCGAGTTGGCGAGTTCTCCATGGTTGGACTTGGCATGTCATCAAAGGTCTCTTAAATCCGAGGATGTAGAGAACAGGACTGTTCACTGCCGGTACTTCTGTACGAGAATCTTTTTCCGATTAGTCTTCTGCCACTAGGCATTGGTTTTGACAGGACACGTGGTTGATGGGATAAGTGTTCGAAGAAGGCAGTGTATCTGTACGCTTACACTTTACATCAAGGGAGTCCCTAGGACATTGGGGAAGGCGATGGATGTGACTACTGACGGGGCCCTTTCTGAGGCTATGCCGGTGTGTTGTACGGATCGGATCTTGTTAGGACGTGGTTGTTTGACCATATACAGCAGTTACTAGTGTTACTGATGACCGATCCGAGTATACGTGCTCTCGACCACAGCCTTTACACAATTGGTATGTTACTGCAAGTAAGTATCATTCACCATGGTTCATTAGGACGAATGGAGCTCACCTGAACAAGAGGCACATGAGTAGCTGGGTAGGTAGTAGTGATGAAATCATATACTCCCCGGCTCCGATATCAACTCTGCCGCATAGATCACAAACCATCGGCAGTCAGTTGTGGAGCCCTTCGGATGAAGGCAGCTTCCGTCACTTCCCATCGTCCTGGTTCTACATACTGTCCAAGAGAAGCATCAGATGACGATCAGACGAAGACGGAAACCCCAATAACCACGATCGACCTGTTCTTGCCAAGAACCAAGGCTAGACTCTCACACACAATAGAGGGTGAGATGCCCCCCCCGTAAACTTGGCGTCCAAAGATGCGGCAGCCTCAGGGTGCCGTGAAATGTTCGGAGGTAATTTGATACCCTGATTGCGTGTGGGGGAAAAAAAGGGTTTGGCATCTCTTGGAAGACAAGGGCCATGGAGTAGGAGGAGGAGGAGGAGGAGGAGGAGGAGGAGGAGGCCTCCTTGGATAAGGTAAGGTAATTACCTGTCATACCTGTGTTGGTACACTGTAAGGCGACTATGGACTTTGGACTACCTCTGCAGCGGTTGCGTCCCATTCTCTCCATCGATTTGGGTACTGTGTATCGATTATTCAGCAGACAAAGGGTTCACAAACGAAATCATTGGTTGAAGGGAACTTGTTTAGTTTCGTTTGGTCTTTCTTGTGCATGCGGCGAGCAAAGCCACCGCGGGATGGGGTCTGACGCGCAATCCTCATGAGGGGGGCGCCGAGGTGTAAGTTGTGCTAGTTGGATGTGCTTGTTTTTTCACACCGCGGTAGGTAATAGTGTATGGTACATACTGCACGGCATCGGGGGAGAACCGGTCTTAAATCCGACCCTCTCGACTGACTTGATACCGACCAGCGTGGGCTGTGTAGACAAGACTGACACCAGTACCCAGGGAAAAGCGGTGTTGATGCCAATGGTTGCTCTAGAAATCTAGGCCGTCTGATGTTTTTTTTTGCTCTAGTGAAAAGCCAAGGGGTGAGGTGAGGTTGGATGATTGGTTCGGTCGGTGGCGGGGGGGCGATGATATTGAGTTTTGGGACTCTGTCATCCATTCCCATGCCCTGTACGCGGGAGGTTTAATCATGCTCTGGGGGTTCTTCTGGTTGCAACTTTGAATACCACTTCGCTTGAGACCCTGAGAGCTAGGTATAGGCAATTCGTACCGGACCAAGCTGTCTCGGGTGCGTGCCTAGGTGTAGCAGTCTTCTCTTACTGGTAAACTTAACTAGATGGGATGAAAAACAGCGGAATTGAAAACCCATGCAAGTTGAGCGAGCCTGGCAAAACAAAGATGAGTGACATCGAAAAGACAAGAAACCAAATTAGGTTTAGCGGTCCCGAACCACCCATCTCCAAGACAGAGTTGGCTCCGTCAGAGAACTCTAAGCCAAGCCCTGCTCAGCCTCCCGAAAAGTCAGGGACCCAGTGTATAGAGAGGGGGGAGGGAGACGTAAGCTTCAATAAGCTTACTTGATTTTTTTCGGTGGTGAATGAATGGCCCATGGGAGTGGCAGAACAACCTGAGCAGACTGGATACTATCCAAGCACCAAGGCCGTCCCGTCCGACGCGCGCGGGCGGGGGGGTAAAGGGAAAGGACCGGCTAGATACTGTTGATACAGTGCAGACGAGAGTGTTTGGCATGGGAAAAAGGTGGCAGAGAAGAAGGAAGCCAAGGAAGATGGCAGTATCGGCGCAATCGAATGATCCACAAATTTCGTTCGTTCCACGGTGTCAAAGAAAATCGGGCAACATTCCAAGATTCCCGGAAGGAAGAGAGGAAAATACTTAAACTATCGTGGGTGCATGCATTACCAGAAGGACGAATATTCAGATCAGATTGTACTTTTGTCTTTTGAGGCTTTACAGAAACGCAATAGAGATCTCGACATTTCTACTACTCCATACCTACTCTCGCCAAATTGATCAAGGCACGAGAACCCCTCACTCGGATTTGCTATCGCAGCATCATTTCTCGACAGAAACCCTTTCCAAGCGTGAGGTAGTTGCCATTGGCCGAGAAAGCGCCCTATTTCGCAGACTACCTGGTCCAGCGTGCCATTCCATCGGGGCTCTGAAACACACAACGGGAAGAAGGTCGCAACTTGGAGCCAAGGGTTTGGACTTGGGGGAAAGGGGAAAAAAAAAAAGACCATTTCAACTCACCTCCAGAACAAAGGTACGTATTCTGTCTATAACAGCACAAGCTAAGAATAGCCCACCTCACCTCACACTTCACACCTCACGATTACACACTAGGTACCTTAGGTGGTGTAGGGATCCCCCTCTGTCAAGGGAAACCCAACACACATACATACACCACTGACGAGTGACACCACCACTCAGTGTGACAGAGAATCCTCAGAGAAAACGCTGACACGCTGCCAATTGCTCAGCCCGATACCTACATCTTTCCCAGGGCTGCCATCCCATCCCATCACATCCCTCGCCCCTCCATTCATCGGCTCCATTGCCTTGCTAGGCCAGTGCCCCCTCTACATTCACGGGAATTGGAGCAGGTATTCGCGGGACTTGGAACTCCAACGGTCCTCCTTCTCCTCGTGCCTCAGCTCAGACGAGGACAGTGTCAGATCCCTGGGAAAGGAGCATCTTGGCTTTCGACGCCGGGATTCCCCCCCTCTCGCTACGAACGCACGCACGCACGCACCCGCATCCCACTTGCTGGTGCCGGCATCAAAGAGGTATGTTGGAACGAAGGTTTTTCCTCTCCCTCTCTCTGTGTGTCTTCCTATTCTTGCATGAGCCTGAATCATTGCGTGCATATGTCGGTCAGCGCCATTAGACGAACTATAGCGCAAACATTGCAAAGTAAACAGAGCCCGATGCCGGCTTCTGCGTCAGCGGTCTTGGTCGGACCGGAATCAGGCTTACGGACGGCGGGTTCTTCGGCCATTTCTTTTTTCTTCTTCTCTTGGTGGCCCCAGTCCTTCTCGTTATTCCTTTTTGGGAACGTTGGTGTCAGTGACAGCCAGCCCGGGTGGATGGGAGGGATCACGAGAGCGAGCGAGCAAAGCAAGCGCAGCGTTCAGCGTAGCGCCCGTGTTGGCGTCCATGGGCTCGGGGTCGATGAGAGAGGGGTGCGATCGACCGGGTCGCAGAATTAATTGGCATCTGGCGGCTTTCCGTTGCCAAAAGGTTGTCAGCAACTAACAGTGAAACAGGGACACAGAATCCGAACCATTCTCCCATCCTGACATCCTCCCAGGCTTCTTTCTCCTCCCCTGGTCCTGGATAAGAGTACTCTGTACTCCGTACATCACCAGCCAGTCAGGAGTCTAGAGAGGAGAGAAAAGAGTGTGCAGAGCCACAATAGAACTCATCCCGCAACCTTGATTCACTCACCCGACCCAACCCAACCCCCTTTCGGGACTGTCGTTTACGCAGTAACTATTTCTCTCTCTCTTGCACCGTACTCCGTACTCAACACGACATACCGAGAGATACAGACACAAAAACCGGGTTGGTTGCTAGGGACGCTACCGGGTGCATTGTCCCAGCCCCCACGAGGATACTTGGACATTGGCGTTGCCACTGCCGCGTCGCCGAGTAGCACTAAGCCAAGAGCTACCAAGACGTCGCCCAGCCCGCCTCTGGAATCCACAGCACCTCTCGAGCTCCAATACAGTTGGTCCACGCCCCCGTACCAAGAGATCGTGTTGCGCAATCCACCGTTCATCTCACACTCGCACACCTCACTCTTTTGCAGTGGACTCTCACTCTGCAGTACGGCGTGTGTGCCACTACCACACGCCCCCCGAGGAATCCCACATCCGCAAGTTCCTGAGCACTGGCGCTTCTCCTCTTCCGTCACCCGTCGAACGGCCGCCAGCACCCGGACTTTCCACCTTCTTTTCCCCGTCCACCACTCTCCATTCGTTCATTCTTGTTTTATTACTTTGCCGTCTGTCTAGTTGCCTTTTTTGTTCGTCATCCCTTCGTCTTCGTGTGTGTATTTGTTCTCTTTTGGAAGACACCCGGAACAACGCGGTGCGACGCGGGCACAACAGTGGTTTAAGGACGATCGCAAACCGACCAGACCCTCTTTCTCTCTTACGCTCAATCTCCCCTATTCGAGAGGCTTACGCAACACCACAAGTGAGAGGCCTCTCTGAGCCTCACCCCGTTTGCGGGGACACCACCACATACCATGGTTTCCTTGAGAACCATAGCTGCCGCCTTTGCCGGCCTCGCGGCTCTTCCACAGAGTGTTTTTGGTATGTATGGGCAAGTGACGTTTGTACGACGATGCATACTGACGACGGCGGACAGCACACTCGACACAGCGCAATCCGCTGAGTTATGTCACCATCCTTGAAGATGCCGTCTTCCACTCCCCTTCACAACACTGCCACGCCCTTTCGCACTTCGATCTCACCTTCTCCATACACGACAAGCAGCAGAAAATACGCCTTGCGCTGGAACCGAACGATGACATTCTCCACAACAATCTGCAAGTGAATTACATGGGCCACGACGGCAAGATCCATACCACAGAAACTGTCGACAGGTTAGAGCACCGGGTATTCAGGGGAAAGGCATTCGTTCGCCATGAGGGAAGCCCCGACGACTGGAGGCACGCTGGATGGGCTCGAATCACGGTACACCGAGACGGCGCAGAACCCATTTTCGAGGGCGCTTTCCGGATCGACGACGACCACCACCGAATTCAGACCGGAACCAACTACCATGCGCGCAAGCACCGAGAGGACCCCGACGCTCCGGGCAAGGGCCGGAACCCCGACGAGTACATGGTGGTCTGGAGGGACTCGGATATCATCGAATACTGGACCGACCGTGAGGATCTGAAAAAGAAGCGGGAAATTTTCGGCCGGTCTTCATGCAACTCGGACAGCTTGGACTTCAACACCGACTACAAGATCTTTGACGCGCGGGATGCCGAACCCCTGCAGTCCGTGCCATCAAACTCTCTCTTCGGACGCAACATCTTCGGCAGACAGATTGACGGCAGCACCGGTAACAACGGTGCAGGTGTCAACCTCGTCTCCACCATTGGACAAACCAACGGATGCCCGACGACGCGCAAGATCGCCCTCCTCGGCGTCGCTACCGACTGTACTTACACCGCCGCTTTCAACTCAACGCAGGCCGTCAGGCAGAACATCATCGACGTGATCAACGCCGCTTCCGAGGTGTACGAGAGCACATTCAACATCTCACTCGGAATCCAGAATCTCACAATTAGCGATGCCAACTGCCCTGGACAGGCCAGCTCGACCGCCCCATGGAACGTCGCCTGCAGCAGCAGCGTCACGATTACCGATCGTCTGAACCTCTTCTCGGCGTGGCGTGGTAAGTCCAACGACGACAACGCCTTCTGGACGCTTCTGAGCACCTGCGGCACTGATTCCGCTGTCGGTCTGGCGTGGTTGGGACAGGCCTGTACCGATGGAGCCCAAACCTCCGGCAGCGGCAGTAACAACGAGACGGTTGCATCGGCCAACGTAGTGATTCAGACGCCCAGTGAGTGGCAGGTTATCGCTCACGAGGTCGGCCACACCTTTGGTGCCGTACACGACTGCACTTCCGACACTTGCAGCAATGGCGATTCCGATATGCAGCGGTGCTGCCCCCTGAGCTCCAGCACCTGCCCTGCGGGTGGCACCTATATTATGAACCCGTCGACCGGCACCGGCATCACGGCATTCTCCCCTTGCAGTATCGGCAACATTTGCTCCGGTCTCCTCCGCAACCAGGTCAAGTCGTCTTGCCTGACCAACAACCGTAACGTCAACACCATCACCGGAAGCCAGTGTGGAAACGGCATTGTTGAGTCTGGCGAAGACTGCGATTGCGGTGGCACATCCGGCTGCGGCAGCAACAGATGCTGCAACCCCACGACGTGCAAGTTCACCACCGGATCAGTCTGCGACCCCGCCAACGAGGACTGCTGCAACGGCCAGTGCCAGTTTGCCTCCAACGGTACCGTATGCAGAACGAGCACCGGTTCCTGCGACCCCCAAGAGACCTGCAGCGGCTCATCATCAACCTGCCCCAGCGACGAGCACAAGGCTGACGGCGATACCTGCGGCAACTCTGGCGAGGGCCTCACCTGCGCCTCTGGACAGTGCACCTCCCGCGACCAACAATGCAAGACAGCCTGGGGCTCGCGTACCAACTCCACCTCAGTGACCTCGTGCAACAGCGGCAGCTCAGACTGCATGATCTCCTGCAACGTCCCCAGCATCGGCAACGGCGCCTGCGTGACGATGAACCAAAACTTCCTCGACGGCACGTCGTGCACCGGCGGCGGCAAGTGCTCCAACGGCGCCTGCCAGGGCGCCAACGCCGGCACCGAGATCATGGACTGGATCCAGAACAACAAGGGCATCTTCATCCCCGTCGTCGTCGTCGTCGGCCTCTTGATCCTCATTGTCTTGTTTAGCTGCATCTGCGGCGCGTGCCGGCGGAGCAGGAGCCGGCAGAGGGCGAAGCGCCTCAAGCCCGTGCCTGTGCCGGCGATGGCGCACAATGGCGGGTGGAACGGGAACGGCTACGGGAACGGCTACGGAGGGGGTGCGTGGAGTAATCCCAACATCCCTCCGCCGCCGCCGGCTGCTACGCGTCCTGGTGCGCCGCCGCCTTATCATGGCGGTGACCCCTATCAGAACGGGGGGTGGGAGATGAACAGGACTCAGAGCGCCAGGTATGCTTAAAAAAAAAAAAAGGTAACCTGGAACAGCTCGAGGAGGGAAATACAGGACGTGAACAAGTAGGAGAGGTTCATTGGATATTCTAGATCATTGCATTATTCGGAGTTGGCGGTGCTTTTCCCTTTTTTTTCCTTCTCACTATTATTACTACTGCCCACACACACCCCCCTTTTTGGATTCAAACCAGGGGTCTAAAACGATTGCACATTGAACCACGGCAAACCTGTATCGATACGGGAATGCCCATTCGTGTAATTATGATGAACCAAAAGGTTCCGGATTGTATCCTTATTGAGAAGGACCTTGGAGAATGGTCGGAGGGGAGAGAGAAAGAATTACATAGCTTCTTTTAGGTCAGCTGGCTGATCCGGTGCGGATACCAGCGGGAAGACCGACATACAATCCCTTTTTTTCCACATGTTGAGATATCCGACCTGGATCTGTGCCTTGTCGTGAGTTCGTTGTAGTTTGTATGAATTGAGAATGTGGGTTTAACGATGCGAGGCGTAGTAACTCCATTACTCCGTGACATTCCCCTATTTCCTCATTTCCAGAACCCGAAGCAAGCTCTCTGAGAGAAGTGTTTGAAGGGGAGTCTCTCTACCACACCCTCTCAGCCATGGGCAAGGATCGTCCACGAGTTGACACCCAAGGCAGAGCAGGCCGTCGTGAAGAACAGCAATCCTTCAAAAAAGAACCCCCCCCCCCCCCCCCCCCCAAAATTCAAAATTCAAAAGTCCCGACGCCATGCCCCGCCCATCGCCCACACACACACACACTCCCCAAGTCGCAAGTGAAGAAAGGCCGTTAAAAGAGTAAAAAGGTAGAAATGTCCTTCCCCGATCAATGACGACCCATCCGGTCCCCTCCAGCGCTCCGCCGTCTCGGATCCCGCCGCGCCGAAGACGACGATGCCTTGCGGTGGTCCGACTGCTGCTGATGCTGCTGCAGCAGCGTCGGCTCCTCGTCGAAACCGCAGAGCATGCGGGTGAAGTGAAGGCGGGTGCCTGGGATGCTCTGCGAAAGGGGTGTTGGATCAGCACAGAGATATTCGTTTAGTATGAAGAGTACGTGAAGGCTGGGGCGTTGACATATGAGAAAGAAAGGAAGGGAAGGGAATAATCAAAATACTCACGTCTCCGCGACTACACGCATACATGGCCAACTTCTCCGGATCCTCAAGCACAGCAACAGCCCAGAGCTTCCGTCTCCTGACCTCGTGGGAATCGCCATCTCCAACACCTCCTGTCAACATCCCACCACCACCACCACCACCACCGTGATGTCCGCCTCCCGGACCAAGGTGTCCCAACCTCCCCACCCCGCTCCTCGAAGGCGAGCCCCCGCCGGGGCCATCAAACTCGAGATCAGAGTCTGATGGGCTGTCGTGCGGAGAGTACGGGTCCTTTCCGCGGGCTTGGCGGTCGCGCATGGCTGGTGTGAAGGAGGGCGTTGCTCCTGATGTGGTACCGCCGGGACGAGAGGTTGAGGTGGAAGAGGATGCCGAGGGGTGGTTTGAAGGGGGGAAGTACGGTCGTTGGGGGGTGTAGTATGGTGCTGACATTTTTTCGTATGAGAGGGTGGTTTGGGTGGGTGTTGTATGTGGGATGAGTGAGAGATGAGAGAAAGTTGTAAAGTGGTGGTGAGAGCTCTTGGATTTCGAGGTCGATTAGGCACGTCAGGCGTCGTGAGGTCGGTCGTTCCTGCCTTTGCAGTTCACCTCAAATTCCTCCCAACTCGCACTCAGTCAGTCGCCTCGCTCACTTGAACCTGTTGGTCAAAAAGAAAGATTCGTCAAGCACCGTCGAGATCTCGCGAGATCAATATGCCGGATCTAAGTGAGACACAAATACCTCGATCAGTTGTAATCTTCGAGTCCACGACGAGTAAGGGAAGAAAAAGAAAAAGAAAAAAAAGAAACAATGCGTTCTTCTTCGTAGTCGAGGGCGGGTTTAGATTGGCACAATAGGATTGATAGATAACCCTCTTTGCAATCAGAGGGGGAACGACGGACGCGCACGGATGAAATATGACGGGACGTCGTTGGTAATGGACAAAGTACGCACTCACTCACACGTGCGGGGCACGGATGAGGAGGCGCTGCCGGGCTGGCTCGCAACCTAGCCAGCAGGTGTGGCTGGGTCTCCCCTTTCCCTTCCATTCACCTCCCCCTCCCCCTCCCCCTCCCCCTCCGCCTCTCCCCCGTCCGGATCCGATGCGGGGGCGGCGGGCGGTCGAGCCAAAGGAAAGCCGCGAGTTGCCATTTTTGTGTCACGTCTAACCAAGCTGCCGGTGATTCGACAACGTATCTTACCCTGAAGAGCAAAAATTTTTGGAGCCGCATGCCGTCTGTGTGCATAAAACCGCGATGAAAATAAGTAACTCATCGATAGAGAGTTCTTCACGCATGGACCTATACGACAACTGCATCTTATCAGAGGCTGTCAATCCTGATTATCTCACGATACCTCCAAATTTGCACCGCAGAGTCATTCCACAGAGCCCTTCACTAGGACAAGGTGAAATCACACACAAATCAGACCAGCATGAACCAGTAAAGAGTCATAATTTCCCTTTTCCATATCGTTTGGTATATACAGGCATAGTGTACAACGTGCTGACCCCTCAGGTGTCAAGTAAGTATTCCTCCTCCGCTGCAAGGACACGAGTCCGTTTGGGTGACAGTCAGTCAACCAGAGGAACAAGAGACCGAAATCATCTACCACGGTGACATCTAAACCAACGCAGACGCCAGTCGTCCTTTCCAGAAGCTTCAGTTGTAATGTGAGATAAGGTATGCGTATGCAAGAAGGCAGCCAGTTCCCCGCCCTAACCCCGCCGTTTGTTGGGGGCCTGTCTGAAATCATCGATCAACAACACCGCCGCGACGCCGGATTACTGCCAAAATTCGAAAGTGGTAAATGCACGATACAGGATCGTCTGGTAAGGATACCCTCGGAGGTTGGGCATTGGTTCCTCTCCCTCGGAGGGTCTCGGCTGCTTGGTGGTTGGAGTACCGAGTCTCTATAACGTCTAACACTCCGTTGGAATGCTTTGAACGACTTTTCACGTGTACCAAAGGGCACAGAATCTCGTTTTTCGTCTACCGACGGAAGTTGATAACAGCCAGCTGCGCAGAGTTAGCACCAGGTCGCACTACGAGACCTCAAGGTATGACTTACTCTGCTGTTGGCTCCATATGCGAGCCGTTGTCCGTCAGCGTCCCAGCACAAACAGTGCTCATCCTCGTCCTCTGGCTCCGAGCTCGCCTTGGGGCTGAGCCATCCGGGATGCGGCGATCTGCTCCAACTCGCCCTTGGCATCGTGTGCTGTTCACCAACCTTCCAGATCAGAATCCGACCAGCCGTGGCTCCGGCGATGAAGGCGCCATCTGGTGTGAATGCAATCGAGACAATGGGCGATTCCATGGTCAGAATGGACCTTGGTTTTCCTGGCTCAGAGTCCTTGGCGTTGGAAATAATGATGGCGCAATCATCGCCTCCAGATGCGATCAATCGCTCGTCTTCCGGCACGTTGGCATCGTCCGGAAGGGGCTGCCACTGTACCGCCGTGATCGCCCCAGAGTGGGCCGTTATTGACCGGCGGTGACCATCTTCGTCCCAAAGCTAAAAGGTTGAGTCAGCTGAACTCTCATGGCACAGGCGTTTCGGGACACTTACGTCCAGGATGCCCTTGTCGCTCGCCGTAGCGGAAAGTTTTGATCGCCGGTCATAGACAACCTGAGTAAATGTGTCGTCCTCCCGGCTCTCCAACTTCTTGTTCGGCACGATGGCCGTCTCCGTGCACTTCAGTGACAACATGACGTCTCCGCCAGTGAGGAGGAACTCTGTTTCGCTAGTCCACGCAGCATCCAGTGGCCAGCTGAGCAAGTCGTGATTTGGCAGGAAATAGGACAATGTGTTGGACGTTAGGGAGTGATAGACAGTGACCAGAGCGCCGCCAGGTCCGTTTGCGTTGCTGTTATCGGGCGCAATGGCGAGAAGGGCTGCATCGCTCGGGCTCCAACGGAGCTTGATCACGGGAGGGTCCGAGACGTCGAACTTGTCGACGTGAGAACCGTCCTTTGCCCAGATGTGGACAGACGCCTTGTCGCCATGTTCGATGGCAATGGCAATGGCCGTTCCCCCACTATTCCAAGCAAGTTGACCTACTGTGGCTGTCCTGGGAGTCTCGTCGTCGATGAGACTATGGAACGGGCGATGTACACCATGCACGTGACCGTCGGGTTCGGGAGCTGGAGTGGGCGTCATTGTGCTTGAACGTGAGAGTGTCCAAATACGGGCTAGCGCATCGGTTCCAGCAGCCGCCAAGATTGATGGGTCCTTTGGGTTCCACTCGCAGCGCAACAGGATGGGTGCGTTTTCACCGTTGGCTGGCGAGGGCGAAGCTCCGGGGCCGCCTGCGCTTGCAGCAGTGGTAGTCAAAGTCGTTGGGGCGCCGCCGTCGCGAGCGTTATTGGTGGCACCGGCGCTGTTGCTGCTGTCATCGGGCATTAATCGAAGAAATGTCGTCTCCGTAGCCAACTCCTCGACTTTGTCGACCTGCGTGCCCTGCTCCGGGCCATCTGTTCTCGGGGTGGGCGTCGGAGCTTGCTCGCCTTCCAGAGGTGACGGATAGGCGTGGTTGTTGTCGCCGTGGCTGTCTAGCTCCATGGGGTCCGTGGCTGCATCCGCCCCGTTCGTGCTCTCATACCCATTGCTAAGCCTGGGCCGCTTGCTGGGTGAGCCGCCATTCACCATGTGCTGCTGTTGTGGCCGGCTGTCAAATTGGCGTTTCCGAGTGTTTTCGACCTCCATCTCTGTGTCGTCCACCTCTCCATCTGCGTCCTCATCCTCCTCAATCTTTTGAGGCGGTTGAACGATCAATGGCCCAAACAACCCCACCTGCAGTGCTTCGGCCGCAGCCGCAGCATCTGGAGGCACCTGCACGCGCAGAGAAAATGTTAGTTTGCCAGAGTTCGCACATTTCCCACACACCCACCCGTCCGTCTCGCCGCCGACTCGGGGTGCACCGGTTGCTCATGACGCGGAAGGGAAGGGGGGGAGGGAAGGCCGAGTGGAGCACAATGCCTTACCAATTTCTTCGCATGCTCTCTCTCGAGGGCATGGTAGCAGAGGCCTTTGTTGATGACGGACACCAAAGCGTGACTCTTGACGTGATTTGCGAAATCAAAATGGCGATGAGGTTGCTGAATGTGCCATTCTTTCTGGAATTTGGCTGCGGTTTCTCGGTAGTCTGCAATCGTCAGAAAAAAAAAGCCCGTGGCCCACCACCACCAGCTGTCGCTGGCTGTACCCAGACGGTTGTCACGTACTGCCTTCCAAGAGATACCTGAGAGGAGAGTCAAAGTCAGCATGTCAGCGATAGCATGAGGGCGCGAGGCCGTCGGTCGAGAGCCAATTCATGAGAGGTTGAAGCCAGAGGGCGTGAGATGAGTGAGGCGCGATTGTGCGTGGAGGTGCGGCGGGCGGGAGTGGGTGAGACGCAAAAAGGGTGAACTCACCTCCAGACGAGAAAGTTGACTCTGTCCGAGTCGAGGTACTCCTTGGTGACCATGCCGCTCGGCGCCGCTGTGGGCGGCGTGATTGAAGGAGATTTCTGTAAGACGTTTCGATGGGGGACTCGGTGAGAGCCTTCGTGGGCGCGTTTTGCTGGCGTCGTTGGTCGAGGGGGAAGCGGTTTTTTGCAGTCGTCGATTCAAGATGAGGAAAGATTGAAGATTGAGGAAGCCCGCAAGAGTGGATGAAATGGAAGGATGGGCGAATCTGAATCTGGCGGTACGTAGCCTACGTACCTTGTTTAGGCGAGACCAGGCGTGAGGCGTGGCGCTAGCGCCAGCAGCCCAGTTGGATTCAATGGCGGGCACTGACTGGACTAGCGACTAAGGTAGGGGACTGCCTATGACTGACTGGGGGGGGGGGCTAGCAGTGCAGCAAGAGGAGGAGGAGGATGGATGGATGGATGGATGGATGGATGGAATGGAGGACGAGGAAGAGGAGAGACACCTGGTCAAGATTCAGAACTCAAGAGAGAGAAAGAGACAGAGACCTGGCTGGGCTGACACTTGCGACTGCGACTAAGGTACAACTGGGACTTGGGACCGGGGCATGACGGGATGAGCACAATACGCTTTTTCTCGCTCTCTGCGTCGCGGCGTCGCGGCGTCGCCTCCGCATTGCTTGCACTCACTGTTTTTAGCTGCCACCCGCGCAGCATTTGACGACGGATGGAAGCCGAAGTGCGCATGGAACTGGCAGTGGCATTTTCGCTACTGCTGCCCGTACCTTGCAATACACCGCAGTACGGATACACTACCAATACCTTACCTAGGTTACTAAGATGGTAGTAGCTGATGCACTCACCCCATAAACTTACCTGCCTACCGCCGTCCCGTCGATCACCAGCAGCTTTCTTTTCTCTGCTCAAGGTGCCGGACGGTACGGTGGTGCCCTCGACACTACCGCGACCGCCAACGACCCGATGAATGCCTCCGTCCCCATCGGTGCAGCGGCACGACGATGCAGTTGCAGGCGGCGCACACACGCACACATGCGCACACACACCTGTCGCAGTCGGATCAGGAGCAGCAGGGAACTCGCCAGACGGGGGGTAGGGGGGAGGAAAGGGAAAGGGACCAGCCTGAGGCCCTGGACCCTGGTCGAGGCTTTGCAAGTCCCAGGCAAAAGACTGATGAACGAACGAGCGCAAAGCCAGCATCAACCAAGACACGAAATCTAGGGAGACTCCCACACTTTCTCCCATCAACTGGGACGGGAGCTGGAGGAACAAGCATACCTTTACCTACCTACGAGGTACGTACCGCACATGTCGGGCGGGTGTGGAGCCGGCTCCAAGGCCCCAAAGTGCATGATCCAAGGTACTTAACCTTCAGCGTGCCTCTTGGACCGTTCCTCGAAATCACTAGCCAGTCAGCGATCCCATTGGAAATCTGAGCCAGCCGCGACGGTAACGACAATGACGAGACGGCAGGCACTTCCTTTGACTTGCCCCGTTGTTCCCAATACTTTGCCATGTTTCGAACCGCGGCTGTCTCGACAAGAGAGAAAACAAAGCTGTTGGGGTGTCGGGCAGAAGGAAACGACCGACTCGAAGGCGATGGAAGTCTTTCACCATAAAGGTCAGGGGAGGACCCAGAGAAAATTGTTGTCTGGGGAGGGGAGGAGGCAGAAGGGGCGGGCAGCCTTCGAGAAAACGATAATTCTCTGCTAATCCCGTGGTCCCCGTCCATCAATTTGTTGTTGTGGTCCGTCGAACTCGGGGTGTGGTGTTTGGGGCTGCTACTCAAGACAGGGTTCCCGGGAGAGCCACATTTTGGGGCACTTTGAAGGTGGTCCTGACACCCAGTCACAAAGCCGCCCCTTGCGCTTTGTCCCAAGTACCGTCTCATACTCGCGCATGCGTAACAGTACATTTACCTCTCTTCTCTTGCCCTCCTTTGCCTCGTGCTTTGCCTGGGCCCGGCTGTGCGTGCCTTTCTCGATCTTCGAGGTAGATACGGAGTAACGGGAGTAATGCGTCGCTCGCTTCTCACTAGGCTTCTCCATGCTGTCGTGCAATGTGAGCATCGGGGAAGGATCCCTCTGCCTAGCTCACTTGCATCCGAAATAGCACTCGGTATCCAAAGTGCGCGATTGCGCTCAATCTCTTGCTCAGTGTGTGTCGATCTCTGGTCGTTTGGCTGACTGACCACGGGGCAAGCGAATGGCTTCCAAGGTGTACACAGATGGGTAGGGTTCTGGTGTACGTATCGACGAGTGTTCACCCGTGACCGCATCAGAAGAAAAGAAGAAAAAAACCTCGATGGTTCCAGGGGTCCAGAACAAGCAAGGCACAGTGGATGCTGGGCTCTTCCTGACTGACAGACGTAAGGAATCAAGGATACAGGCAGCTGGATCGTGGACGGACAGAGGGCTAGAGACGTTGAACTTTCAAGGTGCTCCGTAGTGTCCTCAGATCCGTACCGACAGCGACACAGGTAGGGAGAGCGGAGTACGTATCTGTATCCGTAGAGTCCAAAGATACATTTCAAGGTACAAAGACGGGAGAGCGATGCACGGGATTGGCTGGAGTTATTGTACATCTGAGCCCCCCCTCCAAAACCCACCTTACGTAAGGCGACTACTCCCCAGTTTCTAGGAGCAATGGGAAAACCCGAAAACCTCCAATGTCTTCGATCAAGGCACGCCGCACGCCAGGCAAAGCCAGACCAGATCTGCTCGCTCAAACTTCTGACTCTGCCGTCCGTCATGTCTGCCCATTGCGGGCGCCGCCGCACGTCGCTTCTAGCGCATCTGCGCCAATCGAATGCAGTTTTTGTATCACCACTGGTAGTGACCACTGTCTTGCCTCCGTGCTCCGGCATCCCCCATCCATCCCCCCCTTTCGTCTTGATCCCGCTACGGATACCCATCTCCACCTCACCGGTCGGAGATCAGAAGAGACACGCAGGCGGCAGGTGCACACCCCAGACCCAGGAACATTCCCAGTCTTGTGAACCTGGTTCTGTTCCTGGCCCCCAGCATTGTTCCACGACCAAAGGGTGCACAACTAGGTAAAGCAGGGCCAGACACGCGCGGAAGCACGCCTTAGAAACAGGCTTGCCAGGCTAAGAAGGGAAGACGAGACGAGCAACGGGATCAGTTCCCAGCGCCGGACTATGCTTGTCTGGCGCACTGGACCACTGGTGCTTGTGTGTGTTCTGACGTCTCCGCCCAACGTCGTCTTGATTGCGGCACAGCTTAGCTTGTATGCACAAATCGATACGTACATGGCTTTCTTTCTCTCTTTTTGCCCCATGCGGCCACCGCCCTAGAGGCTAATGCCGAGAGAGGGCCGCGCCTCTTGGGGCTGCAGCCCGCGCAGATGGGCAGCGGTTTGTCGTCTGTTTCCAATTCTTACCCGTCATGTACGTACCGCCAAACCTTGAATGAGCAAGGCAAGGTACGGTGCCGAGTGGGGGATACCAATCATGACAGCAGCTGGGGGCGCGCTCAAGGTCGAAGTCGGACGAGACAGCCGGAACAAGCCTCTCTTGTCTTGAGGCTTGTTACCGCACTTGGGTGTGTCAATGTCGTATGGTGGACGAAATGCCACTGTCGTCAACGATTCGGGCGTCCATCGTCTTTCTCAGAACTCCTCCCATCCTGCTCCTTCTCCCCTCTACTTTGTACCAAGCTCTCGTCTGTCTGTCCGCAAAGGTCATCTCTTGTGTGTACGTGGCATTGCCCATCAAGGGGCCTTCCCTGGCGGGAACCGCTGGTTGCGAGGCGCCATGGGTGGGTGTGGACAAGGATGTGATGGCTGCATGGCCTTCGATCTTTAATAGCTCCGGGGACTTCTTCAGGCCCCCCTGCCACCGCCTGTCTGTGACCACTCACTGCTGGCCAGTCACACCGGCACATCAGGCCAAGCCGAATGGGACCTCATTTTGTGGTCAAACCCCATCCCGTCAACGTTGGCCGACGTTTTGTTGTTCGGAAACACCCCTGGGAATGGCAGCACGCTCTCACAGAGATCACCCTGGCACCCTGGCACAGACTCAAACGATGCCTATTCGTAGTATATCCGTACTGGCGCTTGTGCTGTTTATCGCCCGTTGTCATTTGCTTGGTTTTCGGATTTTATGCTTCAATGGCGACATGTGTCCCAGCGCAATGCCGCCGCAGCGTCTGGGGTAGGTATTGAGATGACGAGAGAAGGGGTATGTCGGACTTGAGCCGCCAGCCGCGGACTGGGCTTCGGGGAAGCTGACATTCGTTGCAACGATGACAAGCGATCGATTCGTTGGAAGTTGGGTGGCGACGATTACCGCAGATTGACAGTTCGTTTCCTCTCTGACATTCAGTGATGCCATAGCGAACGCAACGGCGTCTCTCTCCTAGCCGAGAAAGCCTAGTCAAGCAAACGAGCGATCTGGCACTTTTCTTGGTTGTCTTAGGGCAGCCCGTCCGAGGTTTGCGGCACCGTCCGAAGGCGTCCAGGGGGCCCTTTTCTCGAGTCAGTCTTGGCCGCCTGGGCACTGTGGCGCTCTCCCCAAAGCTAGCCACAGCTTGCGCTGGGGAAAGGCATGTCTGCCATCTGTCGCAACATTCCCCCAACGAGTCGTTGAAATGGCCCTTTGCTCATGGCCATGCCTAGGACAATAAACAACAACAAGGCTTTCTCCTGCCGAGAGGCCGGACGGGACGGTGGCACCTGTGGGAAAGGGCGGACGACGGCTTCTGACTGGCACGGCCGGGCTGGGCTGGCGTTCAACCGAACCAAGTGCACTTGGGAGCCCTGCAGGGATGGAACCACGAGATCTCCCCGTTTCGACCGCATCGACGACTCGTTGTATCCACCAGTGGAACACTCCCACGCCCCCCTCCCAGCCCGTTCATCGCCTTGCAGATGAAAAACTCGGGGGCCTGTTGTGCTATTGCTTGTGCGCCGCTATTTGCCTCTCGTGTACCCAGCACGCCTAGGTATTTCGTATGGCCTTTCATCTGCTGATCCGCCGCAAGTTGGCATTCATCGTAGGATTTCCCATCAATGTAGGACAATCCCTAACGTTGTTATTGGCAGTTAGAGACACATCGTTGAGAGAACTTGAGGCACGAGAGGGAGTCTCGGGGAAACGTGGTTCTCAGGTACGTATCGCAACCGGGGAGAGAAGCTGCCCGTGTCAATTTTGCTGGGAACCCGCCAAAATGGACCACGGGATCCAATCAGTCCCGTCTGTAAGGCCCGTGCGCCAAGCTTCCAGCTCTTCCCCCTGCCGGGACTAGCTCATCTCTGATCTCGGTATAACTATTAATCCGTCTCTGGGACCCACTGAAACGACCCCGGGACGCCTTACCACTCACGTCCAAGTGTCCCCTTGTGTGAGGCTCCAGGAACCAGATATCTAAAGGGCAAAAAAGCGAGCTTGCCCAACTCACGATCCCAACCTAGATGAGCTGTTGACGACGTCCTCCCCGAACGGAAGCTGTCCAAAATGCCGCCCCGAATCAACATACCGCCGGTCACCCGGGTTCTGCTCGCCGTGCTTGTCGTGCAGTCGTTCCTGAGCGCCGCGATCCGCTATCGTCAATGGAGCGCGACATCCGAGATCGTGATACCGTACCTGACGCTCATCCCTCAGCTCTCCCTTATTTATCCGTGGACCTTCTTGACCTCAACACTGGTCGAGAATAACATCTTTACGCTCGGAATCGCCGGGGTCACTATTTATCAAGGCGGTAGATACCTCGAGAGAGCTTGGTCTTCGGCGGAGCTGGCCAAGTTCGTCGCCGTCACGGCGCTGATCCCCAACGTCCTGACTTTTGCGCTCATGATCATCTTCTTTACCCTGACAAGAAACGAGCGCTGGACGTGAGTGACCTCCCCCCTATTTTTTCCGCCAGCAACACTAATCAAGCTTCTGACAGACTGACCGTCATTGGCGGCACGATCCCGATGCAGATTTCTTTCCTCGTCGCATTCAGTCAGCTCGTCCCGGCGCACACTGTTACTCTGTTCCGCGGCATCCTCTCCCTTCGAGTTCCGCGATTCCCTCTGTTATATCTCGGCATCGTCTTTGTCCTCTCTCTGACACCGCTTCTGACGGCGGCCTCTTTCTCCCTTGCTGTGAGCGGCCTGCTCACGAGCTGGACATACCTCCGCTTTTACAAGACCGTCTTCCCCGACCTCGACTCTTCCCAGCCGAATTCTCTCCGTGGAGACGCTAGCGAGACGTTTGCATTTGCCGAGTTCTTCCCGGCGCCGGTGAAGCCCTTCGTCGCCACGCTTTCAACCCAGATCTTTGAGGTGTTGGTAGCGATGCGGATATGTAGTCCCTTCTCCGCGGACAACGTCCCATCCGGACGAGGCAACAACTTCATACAGAGGGGCGCACCCGGCGGCGCGAGAGCCGAGGCGGAGCGGAGAAGAGCGCTGGCACTGAAGACGTTGGACCAGAGGCTCCACGCCGCCACCGCGGGCACAGCGGCACGATCTTCGTCGCAACCTCCGGCGCAACAGCCCACGGGTCCCACGGTACAGACGCAACCGCAGCCCAACACGCAGACGGCTATGACTACGCAGCCGACTGCGATGCTGGGGGAGACCAACTACCACCCCGAGCAGGACTCGAGCGATAAATCTGCATCGTGAGAGAAGTAGAGAGAAAGGGGAGAGAGATACATCACACTTCGCTTCGACTAGAAAATCGGTTTACTTTCCTTTCTTTCTGGCCGGGTCACGAGCCGATTTTGGGCGATTGGACTAAGACGGCAACGGCGCCGGTTTATGGCTGCGGTCAACAGTGTACTCTTATGTGTCGATCCGTGTTGGTCCTTGGGGGAACATTTTTTTTCTCTTTCTAATTCGGGTTTTTTCTTTTGTTTGGCATCGGCGTCTAAAGACGGATACCTTCAGTGCGCGCGTGCGTGTGTAAAGCGGTATGAGCGGCGATCCAGGATTATGACAGCGACGGTCTGGCCCTAGGTAGTATGTAGACTTTTAACCTACACCCAATGGGCGTAAATTCGAAATGATGTATGTGTAGACTGCTGCAGAGTCTTCTTTCCCTTCTATCATCAGAAAGTGTTCTTACTTCGGACGTATGTCCGCGCGCGCGAGATCCATGACATTCGATCTTGCCACGTGCTGCGTCATGATGCTGGCTGGTCTATCCGTAGGTATGAAAGACGATATACTCCACCGACAGATACCAACCGAGAGGAGAAACAAAGATCTCCGATGGGGGCAGGGGGCCCTCATCCACTAGGATCCGATTCTTCGGCGCCGAAGGACCGAAGAAGACACAGAGTGAGACGGGACCTGGACCTCGTGTGAGAAAATCTAACCCTCGGACCTAATTGGGAGTCATGGTACCCGTACCCGTTCCGTATGCACCCTCGGACAGCGTTCGTTTTGTGCTTCTTTTTTGGTGTATATTAGTCCCAACTCTGGGGCTTTCTTTTGGAGGAATGTTTCTTTGACGGACTTCTCGTCTATCTACTTCTGTTTCTCAAATCCCATCTATTCTTTTCATCCTCGGACCGGCAGTCCGTAGCGTTCCTTCCCATCGAGCCTTCAGGTACCCGCGTTCGGATCTCTTTCCCTTCCCGTTTCCCTTCTTTTTTTCCCCCCTTTGCGACTGACACACGCGATCGCCGGTCCGTGGGCGGAGGGGGGGAACATTCGTGCCGGGGCGCGGACGGGACCCTATCCACCTTACTCACGGGCCCCACCCCTGCCAAGGTACCTTGCCTTGCCAGGTATCCGTACGGTGCTACTCCGTACACACTTGCATAGATCAAGGCAGCATCTGTGATAATCATGAGGTATCAAGGACAGGATCGTAGGTGATATATCGGGAAGAGGAAACTTATTCGTACGCCAATCTTGGGTGAGGGCGTATAGGGGACCGTGGAAGCTTGACACGTCCGGCTCCTACTTTGCACGATACATGCTCACGGTTGGTGGAGGGGGCTTTTGTATAACCAGATGACGGAACGGGAGTTCATGTGTTTTGGTACAGAGTGTGATGATCTCGGACTGTCTTTCTTGAGTTTGGTTTGATGTACTCGTGCGCGTGATGTCGTGGCAGTTTTCTTCAGCTCTTCTACTTCAGCCATTGAGGGGCTGATGCAATTGTAGTTGTGACATCCGCAGTAGATGATTGTTGTATAGAAACATTGCAACTTCATGACCGACGGAAGTTTGATCATGCATCATTTTCGAAGAGGCAGAAACACCCATCTACAACGGTCAGTCTAGAATTGAGGCATATGGAATAATAATATGCACCTGCGATCAATTGATAGCGGGGGGTTCAATTCACCCTTTCCGTCATGACATCACCGTCGAATCAACACCCAGGCTTTTTGGCTTGGGGGGAATCTTGAGACGGGGGGAACTTCGATCTGGATCAGAAAAATCACTTTTCGGATAATGGGTCTTGTCAAAAAATTGCGTTGCGTTTATACCGCTCAACCCTGAAACCTTTCCGTCTCTCCTCATCTCCAGTCATCGGCGGCATTTAGGGGATTGGTGTTTGGGCGGGAAGAGGTCTTTGCGGCGTTCGACTCCGAACATGAGATATCGCACAGGCGACATGGCGAGCTGCTATCCCCCCCCTTCTCTCTGCTGACAATTGATAAACAGAGAGCACGTCTTCTCGTCTTTCTCCAGTGGGGTTTCTTGAATTGCCTTGCCTTGTCAAGCCTGCGTAGTGTAATAACTCCACATTCCGTGGTTTGATCCAAGCCGGCTGCGATGCTTCGACCTTAGGATGTTGAGATCAAGCAAAGCAAAAGAAAAGGCCCAGAATCCCCCTTATTCAAAAGCATGTTGTCGAATACCTATACAGCTCGAAGAGAAATGAAGGAAAGCCCGGGAAGAGAACGCGGTTTTGGGTTTCCCGTGAGGAATTGTCGCGGTTCCTTGATTAACCCACATTCCTCCTCTTCTTCCTTCAGCACTTCCGTCAAACACGCGTTCCCGCGGGTTTCCTTTAGTACCTACCAGCGGGTGATTTAGAGTTGCGGGACACAAGAACCGAGGAATGTTGGAACCGTCGATCTCCGGCACACCCACCACCCACTAACCCCATGCACGTCAAATCACAGCATATCTGTATCTGCACGGATACCACGCGTAGGTGAAAATAGATACCTTGGACACTCTTAGAAAAAATCGACGCGGCCATTGGCTTACCTCGTATGTCGAGTAGAATAGAACAATAGTGAGTTTTAGAAACCTTGGGGGTAGCTTGGAATGGGTTGTTCTTGGGCGTTCTAGTTCTTTTTAACGCGTTTGAATTGAACGCGCGCACGGGTATCCCGGTCCGAAAGGGTCAAAACGAGACGAGTCCGAGATAGGAAGAAAAAGTGAGCGAAGCACGGGGGAGGAAAAAACGGAGCAATAAGGGAAAACGCATCATCGATAAGATCTTTGAGTACGGATAACGAGTTGTCATGTTTCAAAAACGAAGAAACAAGGTGGCCACCCACTTACTCCGAGCCAGGCAAAAAAAAAACTTGTCGTCCCTCCTAATTAATCCCAATCGCTCTCGCACTTTGCCGGACATGTCTCATCTTGTCTTTTATCGAAGCTTCCATCTACGGGATTGATGGATTGGGCGCCAAACCTTTTTTTGGAGCTTGTCATTTTGGTGACATGGTACACTGTAGAACGGGCAGCAAGTCGAGCAAAGCCTAGAAAAATATGTCTGCTCAACCACCTTAGCACGGCACCGTAATGGATTGCTTGCCGGACGGTTAATGCATCGGGGGTGAAGATTGACGGGGACGGTTTGTCGGGTGTGGCGGACATGGATGGATAGTGAGCCGCAACGTCCGGTGAGCAGTGAGCACTGCTCCGTACAGACAACAGAGAGCGAGAAAAAAAAGGTTAAGAAACTCTGGACATGACACATGAACCTCGAAGCAGGTCGGTTGTGCATGACACAACCGCGGGAGGGACGGGGGAGACGGGGACTGGTCAGGGAATCCTTGATCGTCCGGTCTCTTCCCTCGCTCCCTTCTTTTATGGTTCCTGCAATCCCAACGTCTTACGTCTCTTCTCTGTAATAGAAAGCGAACCGATGTGTGCGTGTGTTTGATCAATGCATGGCAAAGATGGATGGTATGCACAGAGCAGAGGCTTCATCACCACCACCAACACCACCAACACCTAGAGGCTACATCTTACGTAGGTTTGGGGTTCGGTCCTCCGCGAGTCACCACCGCCTCTTGGCGGTGACTGGACGGAATAAAAGAGCCTGAAGATTGTTCTCTGCGAGAACAACGATGCAACAAATGCGTCTTGGCAGGGCCAGCCAGCGCCAGCCAGCTCAGGCATCTGGTTCTGGTATTCGATGCAATACTCAATTGCCCGACAGCGCCATCCAATGACTTGAACATCATCTCAGTACGCGACACTTCTATGATGGACTCGATGAGCTTGGTGATGTTGGGAAAAGGAATTCGGACGCGTCAAAGCCGCCTTGACATTGGGCGCCTGTAGTCCCGGGCCAATAGTCTGGAACGGCTAGTAATTGACGACAACGGCATGCGCCGATCTAAGGGTACGTATTTAGCGCATGCCTTAGGCGAGAGTGGGGAAGACTTGCCGTGGTGCTTGCTTTGTTTGCCTCGAGGTGGAAGGGGTGAAGGGGCAGCAAAGAAGGAAAATTAGAAGAAAGGTTTCTGCCGATGTAGCGTCAGCTGGCCGGGCCAATCACGGCGGAAAACGTAACGATGCTGGGGGTCCCTCACGCATTTGGGGCGGAGAGGGGGATGACGAAGAGAGTACCTATGTATCGTGGCCCCCACTTTTAGCAAGCCTTATTGAGCAGGTGCTTCTTACGGTGCTTGGAGTTCTGGGCCGATGATTCGGCGATAGGCTGGTGGGCTCGAGGCTGGTGAATGACCTGAGGCAGGGGTACGTATACTCTGTACGGGAGTGTAGAGGTGAGCTGAGCCGCAGCCGCCCAAGGAAGTGATATGGAGCGACGACGATTTCAGCCCAAGTTTATTCGTGGAATGAGGCCATGAAGATCTAGCTCAGTTAGAGACGTCGGCACGTCCTTGTCTGAGAAGGGTAAATCGAGGAAACGCGCCGTTCGACCACAGACAGCTTGGCTCGGCCTACGGCTTGGCTTCTGAGGCCCGCTGGAAACTCTTCACGGCGGGAGGCTATGACTTGGCATTGGCTGAATCGGCTTCCCCGTGGCGCGTGCAGCCCTGGATGCCTGTGGCTCATGTAGTGGGTTTCCCTAGGAGTCTGGAGGTGTGGCATCCCGTTCGGAGAAGTCTGTCTGGGCCGCCGGCTGGCTTGGGCTGGGATGCATCATCTGTCTCAGCTTTTAATTGATTCCCATGTTCCACAACCCTCGCAGGAATGTGCGCCCGCGTAGCCGTGGGTGGTCACCCCCGTTGAAAGTCATCGGCAAGTAGAAGCACGACTAGAGGCAACCAACTGAGCCTCCCGCAGTGCTGCTGCTGCTGCTGCTGAGGCGGTGTCGAGTGCATCTGGCAAATTGCCCTGCATTGACGATGACTCTCGCATCTCTTTGGACTTGTGGACCGTACCTATGTTGCCAAGACAAGCGTATCGTGGCATCGGTGTCGTGTTGTGGATTGATGCTGTAGTGGGATGCGGGATGCGGGTGTTTGAGATGTCCGCGCTTCGCGGCCAGCGATTCGACCCGCGGTTAGCCTTGCCGGACCATACTCTGCGCAGAATAACTGCTGCGATTTCAACAAGGCGAGTTGACAACAATGGTTTTGAAAAGGGCGATGGAGAATAGGTCTTGTCATCGCGTCAAACAGGTAAGTGTGTACGTATTTTCGTAGTGCGCCGTGACTGGGAAGACCAAGCCAGTGTGCCAGTCTGACCATGGCGAGAGATGGGACGGTTTGCGGGGCCCTGACTGTCGGGGATAGGCTCGTCATCTTAGAGACAAGCTCACGTGAAGTGGTTGCCGACAGGACCGAGTCCCGACCCAGTCTCCGCCGTTTACCTTCACCGCATGATGGGGCCTGAGGAGCGTTGCGACTTACGTACATGATGGGGGGAGCCTCAGGGAGGGCCTTCGTCGTCGGGGTGCGGCACCAGCCAAGCCATTCCTTGAACGGTGGGATTGGTTGCGCCTGTCGTCTTTTGAGTCTTGACTGCGTCTAGAAGCCCGAGGGGAAAATGAAAAGGAGACAAGGTCCTGGCGTTTCCGAGCGACGCAGCGCGTAACCTTAGAAGTTAGGGTAAAGGTTGAATATGCAAGCTCGTCAGCGCCAGCGACCAGGGTAGGGTAGGCTGGAGAATTTGCTCGATTTTATTATCCGCTTGGGTCGAGCGAAAACGACTGCTTGGGTGGGCCATGAAAGTATGAGAGATGTCAGCCAAGCCTAAATGTAAACCAATCTGTCGTAGAGATCAGCATAGCAGCGAAGCAAGCAATATCTGCTCTGCGTGCTTAATATGAGCTTGTGCCGGCGGCCCGCAAAGCACCTCTGGACCCATTTCACCGCGAAAGCCCGAATCTTGTCAGCCTCCCAAGAGTGTTCTGTATTTCTTGCCAGCATTGATCGTAACATGCCGTAGTAATCGAGATCGTGATGGCCGGTGGATTGTAGCAGCGTCGGACTAGGTACGGATACTCGATCAAAATGGCACCAACCTGTGTAGGCCTGTGGTTGCTTGGGATGCGATGTTAGCAGTGCCCGTAAAAGGAGAGGGAATTTGCTGGCTTGTGTGTACGCAGTAAGAAGATACGTACCGCTCAACCGTCTCCCGCGCCTCTAGGCTCAAGGTCTTGTTCATTTCCAGCCCAGCGAGAGAGTTGAAAAAGGGGGGCCGAAGGGTTCGAGACGGGCGGACGGTATCCGTACGGATACAGAGGGACGAGCACAGAGACCAAGAGAAAGGCAGAAAAACACCCGGGCTACCGGGGGCATGACGCTTGTACGAATTGGGAAGAGTGAGAGAAGAATGGAGGACAGAAGGAACATGGATGGGCCCAGCGGCCGTGTGCCGTGCCACTCGACCCCGAAAAAGGCTCTTTGGCCCACAGACTTTGCCGGTACGTATTCGTAGCACACCATGGCTAACGCCAAGGAGTCAGATCAGTCTCCGCGGTGGCACGTCAAGTTCGACAGGTTGGGCGGGAGGTACCAAATATGCACGTAGCCTCGATACGTACCTTGCCTCCTGCCGCCGCAGAGGCACAGTCTTGAGTCTACAGAGGCTAGAGCACCTTACCTCACGACTCTCTCACTACGGATACCTGTCTCTCCTTCCATCTGTGATCCACTGCGTATGTGTGCTCCGTACTCCGTACTTCGTACCTTCCATGAAAGCCTTCGAGGCAGATAGATCACGATTGACAGAACACCTTGAGAGACCTGTGCCCTGTCTCTCCGATCTTCTCAGCATCTCCCTCCCCTCCCCGACTTTTGTCTTCCTACGTTTTACTGTATGGACGACAAGGTAACCGCAAGCACCAATATAACTGCTCGGGACGGACTATGGCAGCCCGTCCCCGGTACCTTATCCATACCTTATCCATCCTCATAATCACGTACGGTCCATGGATACTATACCGTATCCTTCCCAGCCTTATTTGCCGCAAGGGGTCTAATACCTACCTACCTCTCTCTCTCTCGCCCACCACAATACCAGATTACCGCGTCTCTCGCCCAAATCAATTCTCACTTTACCCTCCTGCCTACCACCGTGATACCGCCACCGTCTCTTCCACACAACACACACTCACTCCCGCACAAGCGCACATACACACACATCCAGACACACACATCCGACGCACACACGCACACACACACCGGCACAGCATGTACGCCCACACATTACGCAGTACAGTACCTATCTCTCTTCCCCATCCCTTTCGCTTGACGCCGCCGTCAGTCGGGTACCCTCGCACTGCTCCAAACGGCCTGCATATGCGAGAGATGGCTGCATCCTTCCTCCGCCTACCTTGCACGTACATATTGCGGTACAGCCTGGCTACGCACACAATCTCTCTCTGCCTGGTCCAAGCCAAGGGTTGGGGGAACGGCAGACAACCCCATCCACACCCCCCTGCTACAGGCATTGAGACAGACGCAGACCCCCCCCCTTCACTTGGTTGCTGTCGCAATTCTCCTCTCACACCTTGACCCCTGACGGAACCCCCCCTCCTCTCCTCTCCTCTCCGAGGACACCTCAGGTAAGCCTCCGGCCTTCCCTCCCCACTCTGCCTAATCTAGCCATGATCCCCCTCCAGCCTGGCGGCGATGGCGGCGGCGGCGACCGGATCCCATCGAGCTATTTGCAGGTCCCAAGCAGAGCCCACAGGTGCACCCGCGTCATGTGTGTCCTGTATCTGCGGCTTAGTCTACTGTACAGGCGCACGAGAGCACTACACAATAGTGTACGACTACGGATACGTCTACGAAGAACCCGTCATTTTTGTCCGCTGGCTAGCGTAGCGTGTACCGCGCCGCAGGGGAGAAAACAGCGTGCACCACCTACTCAAACCGGTCCAAATGAAGAAGGGAGGGGCCCAGCCACTGCGCAGCCAACTGACGATAGCTTCGTATCGAGAAGCTTTTCCTGCTGGACTCAACCACCGATCCACCACGATATTTGCAGATTGCGGGTATGAGCTTGTTCAACGACGGAAAAGCCTGGTGCGACACACAACCAAAGACAGCAGACCAAATAGCTCGCTCACAGGCCCGTTCGATGCGGTGAAGCCGACGAACCACCAAGCCCATCCCATCCCGATCATCAGGCGCTGAAACCGAAGATCTCAACCGGGGGTAGGGGAGGGTGCCGAGGAATAAGGAATGCAAGTGTGGTGCCTGAAAGGTGACGGGAGAGGACAGCATGCCAGCCAGAACGCCAGCGACAGGAACACCAGCGCGCACGAGAGAAGGGTGGGAAACTCTCGGGAAAGGTAAGGTAATTTACAACTGACTAGCGAGCAGTTGCGGCACGGATGAAGTCACATCGGCGCCCTGAGTGGATGGGTGCAGCAGTTGCAGCGATGACATGAACCAAACTCAAAGTTCGTCTTTTCTTGCGTTGGTTTTGGCTTCTGGCATTTCTTCGACGGTGCGATCCACTCCCCCGATCAGGATCTTGGAGCTTGGAGAGGAGGGAGGGGGTCACCAGCCATGCACTCACCTGCCCTGGGCACAGCCTAGCCCAACCCAGCTCAGTCAGCCAGCCAGACACACCAGTGGCACCACAGAGCCGGACTCAGACTGGGAGTTGATGGATGGGTGGATGGATGGTACCTCCCGTCTTCTCAAGGGGCGCTTCCCCGGGGAAGGGCTGGGAAGGGCTGCCTACCTATCCGTACCCTTCGGTGAATATTAACCTCCCTGGGCCTGACCTGAGGTGAACGATGAGGTGGCCACCTGGAACTTCAGACACGTGGGTTGTGCCGTAATGCAGTTTAGCGGCGGCGGCCCTCAATCGCAGCGTTTCCCCCTTTTCTGGGGGGTTATTCCATTATCTTTATTATTTTGGTGTTCCCTCTTTTTTATTGTTTTGTTTCTGATGATTCGTTCCCTTCTCTGACAGGCGTTTCGGTTGATCTCCTGCTCACCCGTCGAATTCAGTCTTCACACACCTTGATCGCATTTACGAGAAGCTTGTTGGTCACGACTCTATAAGGTCCGAACAGGAGCACTGGATAGCTGTTGTCCATGACCTTGGTGCTTGCTGGCTTAGAAATTTGCCTCAGGCAACCCAATCAAGACCCATACCCTCGGTGTTCTTCCGCCACACTGACTGGGAGAGATCAGAGAGGATGGCGCCGCGATGCGATGCGACATGGCTGTCTCTTGTTTCAAACTGGCTGCGAATGGCATGTCCAACTGGGCGGTCGCTGACATTCCTTGTCCGTAGATCCCTCGATGTGTCATGCCTCAGTGTGCAGATACTGCCAACAATAGGTAGTTGACTCTTACGATGCAGAGCCATAGAGCATTGCAGTCCAAACGGGGGGATACTCGCACACTTCTTCCGGTTGCTTCCTCGGTCTCTGACCTACCATGACATGCGCTGCCGCCGGATTGCACCGTGTCTCTTTGCTGGCACAGAGTGCAGAAACATGATAGTGTGGGAAAGGCTTCAACCGTCGCGAAGCTTTGTCCGAAGCTGCATCACGTTACGCAACAGCATGCGATGCACGCATCTGAGTGCGTTTATCTGATGGTTGACAGTCACGGTCGATTTCGAGGGGGCTTGGTAGGCTTGTTGGAAGCTTACCTCGGATTTTGTAGGATTGTCGATGAGCTTGCAGCACCGTTGAGAAGCAAGGTTTGACGATGCCTTGGCATCACGACAGGCCTGGACTCTTGTTGACGCGCGAATAGGGTTCCACTGAAAGCCGCCGCACTGCCAAGTTTGCAAGAGAGTCTGAATAACAGTTGACGACGCGATCGATGCCTTGTTGGCGGCAGTTCACCGGTGCAATTAACCTCAGAGATGTCAGGCTCCTTGGGGCTGGGCCGCTGGACTACCTGACCTCATGGCACATGGCTCTGGCTCTGGCGGCTCTTGGGGCCATCTCACGTCTTGGTGCATCTAATGACAAACGAAGCAAAGCGCGCCGAGCTGCCGACTCGTACTTTGCAGGAGTAATGAGAAAAAAAAAGGAGAGGGGTCGGGTCTGTCTGCAAGATGTGTTTCGCTAGACTATCATCCGCACCCACATCTTTACCACAGATTTCCGCAGTGAGGTCGACGTCTCCATATGCCAAGGTACGTTATCCACCTCTTTGCTCCCCATTTCGGAGCTGCAGGAGCCAAGCACTAAACAACCAAGAGGGCGATGGATGCCTCAAGTCTATGGGCCCCTAGGTATCCGTACGAATAGAGGAGGGGGATAGAGAGAGAGAGAGAGAGAGAGACAGGGAGGAGGGGCGACATGGCGTTCAGTGGGAGTGCCCGCCGCCCGCCTCCATGAAATCTGTATGTAATGTACGAAGTACTTCGTACTCCGTACCTGGGCCTGGCAGACGGCGTGGATGTGGATGTGGACGTGGACGTGGCCGTGGTGGTGGTTGTGGTTGTGGACGACGGGGGGGAACATGGGCATGGGCTGGGCGGATGGGCGTGAGCGTCCACGGATGAAGCGTGAGAAGCGTGGGTGTGGCACCGTGGGTATCGGCTCCAGCTAAAGGGACGCTAGCCAAGTTGCTTTTTCAGATGAGATGGGCTGGCTTGTTCTCCATCCGTGCCCCGTCTTTCACCCCGGCAGCAGCATGCACCCTAATAAGACACCCCCCGCCACACCCCCTGGTCCCCATCGTCTCGTTTCGCTCGCTATGGATCTGCTCTGCCAACCCCATGCCGTCGCCAAAGTAAAAGAAAAGGAACGGAAGGGTAAAAGAGTACGTACCTTTCGAGGGTAAGGTGAGTTTGGGGAGAGTGATGGAACCTATTCTCGCAGCCTCCCAACTTCCCTCTCACCTTCTTTTCCAATTCCCCAACTTCGCCCTGAGCTACAACGGGGGCGCTTCGATCCATTGCTGTCGGGTCTCGCATCCCTTCCTTACTCAAAACATCATCATTGTGTTGCCTCGGGGGCTTTCTGCGCCCTTCTGCATCACCACATCAATCTCGTCTTCTTGTTTGACTTTTCTGCAGCTTTTGGCCTGTCGTCGCTTCAGACTTTCGAGCCCAGCCTCCCGTTGACCGGTTGCACGTCGAACCTCAATCCGTTCGATTCGTCGCAACAATAGCGCCCGCGCCCTTGGAAGCCACGCCCTGTATTCCAACCACGCCAGACTAGATCAAAGACTTTATGGCCTCGCGCCTCTAAGTCTTCATTTCTCTACAAGTAAACTTTACCTTTTATAATTGCGACGTCGTTGCTGTTGGCATCCAGCGCCTCTTTGCGCGATCCTCAGACAATCCGTCGACGCATTCACCGGAGCACGCGCACACCTAGTACGCTTCAACTCCCAACACAATGGCCAACCATCACCCTTCGCCGACCATGGCCATGCAGGGGCAGCAGCACGGCGGCCCCCCTGGACCCCCTCCGCCGCCGGGTATGCAGCAAGGGCAGAACTATGCACCTTCGCGACAAATCCTCTTGATGAACGAAGCTGTCTGGATGCAAATTGGTAAGTGCATCGCGGTCATTCATACGCGCTACGTATTCTAACCATTGATACAGGCAGCTTTGCTGAACTCCTTGGAAACCTCGAGGAGGCCATGAAGGCCTACGATCGCGCCCTCCAAGCAAACCCGCAGTCGGTCGCGGCGATGAATGCCATCAGCTTGATCCTGCGAACGCGCGAAGAGTTCCACAAGGCAGTTGACTACCTGCAAGCCATACTCAAAATCGACAACACCAATGGCGAGGCCTGGGGCAGCCTGGGTGCGTAACAAGTCCCCGTTCTATGTTCAACCAACGCGACTCATGCTAACTGCTCACAGGCCACTGCTACCTTATGATGGACGATCTGCAGCAAGCCTACGCCGCCTACCAGTCTGCCTTGGTCAACTTGAGGAGCCCTAGGGTTAGTGCTGCCTCCGGCTCTCTGGGTTCTTCAAATACTAATACAGCACAGGAGCCCAAGCTTTGGTATGGCATTGGTATCCTTTACGACAGATACGGCTCTCTTGAGCATGCCGAAGAGGCCTTCTCCCAGGTCATGCAGATGCAGCCGGACTTCGAAAAGGCCAACGAAATTTACTTCCGTCTCGGAATAATATACAAGCAGCAGCAGAAGTACGGTCAGAGTCTGGAGTGCTTCAAGTACATCGTCAACTCCCCTCCCCCTCCGCTCACCGAGGAGGATATTTGGTTCCAAATCGGTCACGTTCACGAGCAGCAGAAGGATGTAAGTAACCACTTCTCGGCGATTCCCAACATTCTAACTAACGCACGCAACAGTACGATAGTGCCAAGGCTGCGTACCAGAGAGTTTTGGAACGCGATCCTAGTCACGCAAAGGTCCTGCAGCAGCTGGGCTGGCTTCATCACCAGCAAAGCAGCAGCTTCCAGAGCCAAGAGCGAGCTATCGAGTTCTTGGAGAAGTCCGTTGCCGCCGATCAAGGTGACGCGCAAAGTTGGTACCTCCTTGGTCGCTGCTACATGTCGCAACAAAAGTATCCCAAGGCCTATGAAGCGTACCAACAGGCCGTCTACCGCGATGGAAGGAACCCGACTTTCTGGTGCTCTATCGGAGTGCTGTACTACCAGATAAACCAGTACCGCGATGCTCTCGACGCCTACTCTCGTGCCATCCGGCTCAACCCCTTCATCTCCGAGGTCTGGTATGACTTGGGCACATTGGTAAGTGCAAGACCCGCAAAGATCGAACAGCCAGAAAAAAGCATCGTTACTAACCGACCTAGTACGAATCTTGTAACAACCAGATCAGCGATGCGCTTGACGCATACCAACGCGCTGCAGAGCTCGACCCTCAGAACCCTCACATCAAGGCCCGTCTGCAGTTGCTGAGAAATGGCGGCGCCAACGGAGGCCAGCCCCCCAGCGCTCCTCAGCCTGCCGATGTTCATCCTCAGGCTTACCAGGTCGGCCCCCCAGCTCCCCAATGGGGAAGCTCTGCTCCTCAGTCGCAGCAGCAAGGACAGCAGCCTCCTCCGCCCCCCGGACCCGGTGGCCCTGGAAGCAACGGCTGGGGCCGGCTTGCAGACATCAACCCCCCTCCTCAGCCACCCAACCCGTATGAGCAGCGTGGCGAGTTCCGCGGCCCGGCTCCCCCCATGCCGCGACAGCCTAGCCCGAGACAGGAGCAACAGCAGCAGCAGCAGCAGCAACAACAACAGCAGCAACAACAACAGCACGGTGGCCGCCCGCCGTATCCCGAGCCGCTTCGTCGGATGGCTAGTCCTCCATCTCACTACGCAGGACCGCCGCCTCAGCAGCCTCAGGGTCCTCCTACGTCTGCGCCGCGCACCATCAACCCTAACTACACTCAGCCGTCTTCTGCTCAAATGCCCCCTATGAACGTCGGTCCCAATGGCCCTCCCAGCCAGCCGCCTCACTTCCGTGGCACTAACAGTCCCCGACCTGGTGAGAGGCCCATGCATGACAACCGCATGCCCTCGCCCAAGTCGGCGTACCCTCAACACCAGCCCCCTCCGCCGCCGCCGTACAGCCATCACCCTGACGGCCCCACTCCCGGACCCATGGAAGCCAATGCCCCGCCTCCACCTCCTCCGGGCTCGATCACCGGAGACCCTGCATCGCAGCGCAATGAGCATGACCGCCCCCCTTCTGTGGGACCCAAGCGCATGCGTGAGTGGGAGGAGGAGTCTTCTCACAAGCGACCAGCCAACGATGAGAACCGAGCCAGGCTCGACGACGTCCGCCCTCGCCGCCCGTCGACTCCTCCGGGAACCCGGGACCAGTACCGCCGCAACTCGTCAGAGGCTCGCCGTTTCGAAGACCAACGCCGCGCCGAAGACCAGCGGAGAGCGGACGATCAGAGAAGGGCAGAGGACATTCGTAGGGGCGAGGAGCAGCGTCATGCCAATGACGGGTATCACCCGTCAGAGGCGGCGCACCACCAGCCCAACCACCCGATGCCCACCAACCATCTCCCGCCGATGCAGTCTGCCGCTGCGCCGATGCAGAACATCCTCCACGATGGACCGCAGAACGGACCCGGATCTGCTTCCGGACCCGCTCCCGGCGTTAAGGAGTATCCCGCTGAGGAGCGCCCACCTATTGAGCACACTCCCGCTCCCCGGCCTCCGCAGCCCAGCGAGCCCGAGCGCGCAGCGAGAAAAATGGACGTCGATGAGGATTACGATGATAGCGGCGAGGATGAAAAGAAGGGCGCCGTGGCCACTACCAACGGTTCGGGTCCGGCTCCGGCATCGGGGGAGACTAAGACGCCTACGAGCGCAAGCATCAACGGCCTGATGGGGCCTACTCCCAAGGTTGAGTCGACTTAATGGATCAACGGCTTTGGCGTGCTTTGCTTTGTTTTTATTTGTCTGAGGGATGCTGTGTTCTCTTATCGTGTATACCATTTCCTTCCTCGTCCTCGTTCTGTCTCCAGAATCCTCTTTTGACGGGAAACTGGTGTGTCTACGTGAGGCACTACGGTAGCTTATGAAGAGAAAAAGTAGTGGTGAATCTAGACTGCTTGAATGACTAAACAATAAATATCAAACCATATCTGGCTCCATCTGTCGCAACCAATTGACTGTCAAAGGAGGCGAATGAACGAGTACTCTCAGAAAAGTTCTGCTTCTTAGGTTGTAAATGCCGGGGAACCTCAAGTACCTGACCTATGCCCGCCGGTGGGAAGCTGTTCTCGAGTACGTACCGTTCCTTGCTAAGTATGGGCCTTGGGAAAAGCGCTTGGACCAGGCGGGAAGAAAAAGTGTGGAAAGTGTTTTTTTTTTCCATCGCCATTGCGCTCACGTGATTAGGGTGGTGCCTCCCGGCAGGAGGAAATCCGCCCACACGACATTTTTGCAGCCTCAGCTATCCCGACTTTGAGAAATTTCCCAATCGTCACTCCTCTCGATTGAACCAGTCAACTAACCTCCAGGTCAATCATCAAGATGTCGCACCGCAAGTACGAGGCACCCAGACACGGCGTCAGTTATACCTTTCGACAATCATCGTAATTACGACTAACATTGCTCAGTCTTTGGCCTACCTGCCGCGCAAGCGTGCTGCCCGTCACCGCGGTAAGGTCAAGTCGTAAGTTCTACCATCCACATTTCGCAATATTTTTTTTCGAGGCTTCGGCCAAGGGAAGACAGAGGCTGACAATGGCAATCTCTCTTCCACAGCTTCCCCAAGGATGACGCCAAGAAGCCTGTCCACCTCACGGCCACCATGGGCTACAAGGCCGGTATGACCACGATCGTTCGCGACCTCGACCGTCCCGGCGCCAAGGCCAACAAGAAGGAGGTCGTCGAGGCCGTCTCCATCATTGATACCCCACCTGTACTACCAACGCAGCCCGCTTGGCTCTGTGCCTATGGCTAACAACTCTATAGTTGATCGTTGTTGGTCTTGTGGGCTACATCGAGACCCCCCGCGGCCTGCGCTCGCTCACCACCGTCTGGGCTGAGCACTTGAGCGACGAGATCCGCCGCCGCTTCTACAAGAACTGGTACAAGTCCAAGAAGAAGGCCTTCACCAAGTACGCCAAGCAGCACTCCGAGAACTCCGGCGCCTCCATCACCCGCGAGATCGAGCGCATCAAGAAGTACTGCACCGTCGTCCGCGTCCTCGCCCACACCCAGCCCCGCAAGACCCCCATCAAGCAGAAGAAGGCCCACCTCATGGAGATCCAGATCAACGGTGGCTCCGTTACCGACAAGGTCGACTTCGGCTACGGTCTGTTCGAGAAGCCCGTCGAGGTCAGCTCCATCTTCGAGCAGGACGAGATGATCGATGTCATCGCCGTCACCAAGGGTCACGGATACGAGGGTGTCACCGCCCGTTGGGGTACCAAGAAGCTTCCCCGCAAGACTCACAAGGGTCTGCGTAAGGTCGCCTGTATCGGTGCCTGGCATCCTTCCCACGTCCAGTGGACTGTCGCCCGTGCCGGTCAGAACGGATACCACCACCGTACCTCTGTCAACCACAAGGTCTACCGTATTGGCAAGGCCGGTTCCGACAACAGCGCCTCCACTGAGATTGATGTCACCAAGAAGACCATCACTCCGTATGTTTCTGCTTTCCCGTGTTTCTGGTCCAGCAATTTACTGACACATTTGCAGCCTCGGTGGCTTCGTCCGCTACGGTGAGATCAACAACGACTTCGTCATGGTCAAGGGCTCCATCCCCGGTACCAAGAAGCGTGTCATGACTCTCCGCAAGTCCATGTTCACCCACACCTCGAGAAAGGCCCTCGAGAAGATCGACCTCAAGTGGATCGATACCTCGTCCGAGTTCGGACACGGTGCCTTCCAGACGCCGGCGGAGAAGAAGCAGTACCAGGGTACCCTCAAGAAGGACCTTGCTGCTCAGTAAATCGCTTCTTCTTCTCAAATTTCATTGTATCATGGTCATGGCATCGGTGTAGAGGGTTCACGTTACTTTTCGGATGGTTTGGGACACCTTTGAGGTTAAAATGAGTGCCGAGAATTCAAAAGTCAAACCAATGATACCTAGATGACCAACCCACTTGTAATCCCTCGTGTGGCTTGTGAAATGTGAATGCAATTGCAAACGACTTCAGAGAAGATGTTAAAAAGGCTTAGATGGGCGTCAAATCCAGTGCAAAATTCGTCCAGAATTTGTGGGTGCTTAGCATCGACGTCCAGCCAATGCCGAGATGGTGGGGCGGCGAGGTCTGGCCAGCGAGCGAACGATTTGAGGCGTAGCTAGCCGGCCCCCCGTTGCGTCATTCTATCTGTACCCAACCATGGCGTGCAGCTTCCCGCGAACCAAGCTCGCGACCGCAACACCCCTCTGTACGCTTGCCAGCTATCCTGCAACCCATAAGAAGCGAGTAAAGATCTCTACCCCGCGAACGCTGTACCGAAATCTCTGCCATCAGACCCTCCCTTCATCTACGACATCTTCCGTTTCGCGCAACGCATTCACACTACGACGATCGATCCTCGCTCCAAGCAGCAGCAGCACCATCACAACCACCACCAGCAAGCTCCTTCACCCTCGTCAGGTCGCTGCCAGCACGTTCTCGACTTTTACACACTTGAAGATGTCCGACGCAGACTACGCGGCGTTCTTGGACAAGGCGAACCAGGACCCCAACGAGGGACACGCCACTACGACCAGCAGCAAGAGCAAGGAGTTCAAGGCAAAGGACAAGGGCGTCGAGGTGCCCAAGGCCATTCAGGATGTGTTGAAGCAAGACAAGGTGTACATCTCGGACGCGGACGAGCCGTTTGTCGGCGTTGCGTTGCAGTGGGATGAGGCTGGCAAGGGTCTGCCCGACGAAGGTGAGTTGTGCCCCTGATGCTCTGCCTCCGCCCTTTTCTACGCCAGGGGAAAGAGGCATGCGGTATATGTAATACAAGGTGACTAATGAATGTTGTGTGTAGTTGAATTCGCGCAACTGATTGGCCACCCCGATGCCGAGAACGCGGACGTGGAGCTCCTCGACCCCGTGGACTGGGACTCGAACGGCGATTACAAGGACGTCATCGAGGCGGTCCGCAAGGCGGGCAAGGGCAACGACGTTAGAGTTTACAAGGTGCCAAAGGGCGGTGTCCGGACGGAGTACTGGCTCGTCACGACGGATGGGAAGGGAAAGGAGGCGAAGCTCGTGGGCGTGAAGGCGCTGTCTGTCGAGAGCTGAGTGTCCCTCCTCCGACTCGCAGCAAGGATGGAAAACCCGAGTAAATGTGAGGCGGGACGGAGAGACATGGGGCAGCCAGCCGGTCAGCGTGGTCCTCTAACGGTTCTATGAGCAGTGGCTGATTTATACGTAGCACAAACGCAGCTCATGTTTGTACAGCAATATTACCAATTATAGCAGAATTCCCCCTCTGAAAAGGCGTCTTCTTTCTGGCCGATTTCACTTGCAACATCGAGGATGTGAGCTGTCTTGACTCTTACTCATTCAGGTCATCGATCTAGACCAGATTGGCGGAACAATGGGCTGGTGGTGGGGTCCCGTTGTGTCACTGATCCTTGACGCACACGCAGCGGAGGTGCCACTAATGGCAACGCCTTGTCTTTCACCTTATCGAAGCGCAACGGCAGCCAAATTCCGCTTTATCGGACCCTACCACCCCTACCTGACTATGTGTGACCCCTCCACGCATCGGAGGCTAAATAATTCAATACAAGTCCAACCTTTTAGGTACGGGTGACTCAGATCAACAAACTAAATACACAACTTCCTCTCCACGCAGCGCCTCACCGATAATTCCCAGCTTCGTCAAAGGACCGGATCAGAATGTCGGGACCGGTAAGTCTTGCTCTCTCTCCAATTGACCTCCCGCCGGCCCGCTCCACGAAGCAAAAGACTCGGCAAAAGCTAACATACCGCCCGCCATTCTCACAGCGCGCCGTCGTACCGTCCCTCGAGACGGTCAGGTCCATCCTCACCTCCCCGGCCACGACCAACGCCGCAAAGAAGCCCACCCTCGTCCCCGTCTACCGCCAAATCTCCTCCGACCTCATCACCCCGTCCGCCGCCTACCTCAAGGTCTCGGCACACCACAAGGACTCGGACTTCTCCTTCCTCTTCGAGAGCGCCGCCACAGAACAAGTCGGCCGCTACAGCTTCGTCGGCGCAGGGCCCCGCAAAGTCCTCGCCACAGGTCCCGGCCATGGCCCCGAGTGCGACCCCCTGCCGGCCCTCGAGGCCGAGCTCGCCCAGCACGTAGTCGCCCACGTTCCCGGGCTACAGCTCCCGCCCATGGCCGGCGGTGCCGTCGGCTACGTGGGCTACGACTGCGTGCGCTACTTTGAGCCCAAGACGGCACGGCCCATGAAGGACGTCCTGCAGATCCCCGAGTCCTTGTTCATGCTCTTCGACACCATTGTCGCCTTTGACCGCTTCTACGGCGTCATCAAGGTCATCACCTACCTCCACGTCCCCAAAGACACCGCCCAGCTCGAGGCAGAGTACCAAAAGGCGACGCAGACCATTGACGAGCTCGTCGCCGTCCTCAACTCCCCCGACATCCCCATCCCGGAACAGCAGCCCATCAAACTCGGCCAGGAGTACACCTCCAACGTCGGCCAACAGGGCTACGAGGCCCACGTCACGGAACTCAAGAAGCACATTGTCAAAGGCGACATCATCCAGGCCGTCCCCTCGCAGCGCTTCGCCCGCCCGACGACCCTCCACCCCTTCAACATCTACCGCCACCTCCGGACGGTGAACCCGTCCCCTTACCTCTTCTACGTAAACTGCAAAGACTTCCAAATCGTCGGCGCCTCCCCCGAACTCCTCGTCAAATCCGAAGCCGGGCGCGTCATCACGCACCCCATCGCCGGCACCGTCAAGCGCGGCAAGACGCCCGAGGAGGACCAGCGCCTCGCCGACGAGCTGCGCAGTTCCCTGAAAGACCGCGCCGAGCACGTCATGCTCGTCGACCTGGCGCGCAACGACGTCAACCGCGTCGGCGATCCCTATACCGTGCGCGTAGACCACCTCATGGTCGTCGAGAAGTTTAGCCACGTTCAGCACCTCGTCTCGCAGGTCTCGGGCGTGTTGAGGCAGGGGCAGACGCGCTTCGATGCCTTTCGGAGCATTTTCCCTGCGGGCACGGTGTCGGGTGCTCCAAAGGTGCGCGCTATGGAGTTGATTGCCGAGTTGGAGAAGGAGAAGAGGGGGATTTATGCTGGTGCGGTTGGGTATTTCGGGTACGGGGGTGTTGATGAGAAGGGCGAGGAGGTGGAGGGCGCTATGGATACGTGTATTGCGCTGCGGACGATGCTTGTCAAGGATGGTGTGGCGTATTTGCAAGCCGGTGAGTTGCTGCCCCCTGATCCTTTCGACTCCTTTTGCTGTCATGGGGTTTCTTTGGCGGTGAGATGTTTAGTATGCTGACTTGTGATGTCTTAGGTGGCGGTATCGTATTCGACTCTGACGAGTAAGTGATCTCTTCCGTCTCCTCCCAACATCCCAAGATTTCCATACTGACTCAACTTTCTAGGTACGACGAGTGGTTGGAGACAATGAACAAGCTCGGCGCGAATATGCAGTGCGTAACGACGGCAGAGGAACTCTATTACGACCAGCAGCAACAAGCGGCGGGCAAGTCGTAAGTAGTTGGTTGTAAAAAGCAAGAAAAAGTCCTCCCCCCATTTAGCCATGTTGACAATAAATTCGATACCTTTTCCGAATCACTCGGTCACACTTACCCTCTCTCTTTCTAGACTTGTGAGGCCCTACCTAGGTCGGTACTAGATACAGAACCGAAACAAGTAGATGGAAAACGCAAGGTGGAATATACACAGGACCACCCCAACCCAGGCCCCAGGCTGACCGAGTGTTCTTGCCTTTATTCATATCGATGTCGCTCCTTCGTCAACCAAGCCCAATCGATCCCCATGGTCGAGCGGTATAACGCCCTGGTCCGTTAGTATAGAAGTTGGTATGGAATCTCGAGAAGTCGTCGGATGGAGAATTTCGTAGGGGCACAGTTCGATTCACGGACTACGCACCTGAGCTTTCGCCTCTCTCTCTCTCTCTCTCTCTCTCTCTCTCTCTCTCTCTCTCTCTCTCTTTCTGTTTTGCTTTGTTGTCTCCCTCTTTTCTTCACTTTAGCTGTCATACTGTGATTAAAGTGTAGACAGAAAAGGGGTAGGTTCAAGTGGGCTGGTGAAGCTCAATATATATGGATCCAACAACACTTCTGCTCCTGCTTTTTCTGCTTCAGGTAGATACAAGGGATGAGACACCATGGTAGGTAATAGTGATACATGGGAGTATATGCCATAGAATTCTGGTATTAAAATCTTGATATTTACTCATTATATGATGCCCGCAGATCCGCATATCCAATGCCTGGATCGCCAGTCAACCATTGTGTTTCTACACAAACTCCAGAAAAGACTGTCATGGACCCATGGTATAAGTGTAAGTGAAACTGTAAACCTCAAACCCGCCCCCCGGGGATTAATTCCCAACCACACAACCCTTTCAAAACAAATGATACGAGGGTATAAAAACCGATCCAACACCAACCCCAATCGTCGCCAACGAAGCCCACAACACCGCCCCGGCAACGACGCCGTCCTGCAGAATCCGGAGGTGCTTGTTCCGGCTCGCCCGGCTCCGCTCAAACACGCGCCGCCACAGCCACCGGCGCTCGTACGCCGAAACCCACTCCTCACCCCGGAAAGAGAGGTAATTCTCCGCGCCGAGCGTCGAGAGCGCGGGTTTGCGGAGGGGATCGACGGCGCCCGCGACGCTCTCGCTCGTCGCTGCGCGGCGGTGGGGGACCCTCTCCTTCTTCTGGTTCACACCACCGGTGCTGCCGTGCCACCTGCCTGCCTCCAGATCCGGAACCTCCCACGGCCGAACGTGGCGTCTGCGCGCAATGTGAAGCGATAACGAGACGCCATCGAGCGCAGCGACGAGGATCGCTAGACCGGAGAAGAGGAAAGGCGTGGAGAGGAGGCGGTAGTACCGCGAAAACGAGGACAGGATCAGCGCGACGTCGAGGCCGAGACCTAGGGAGAGCAGTGCGACCCCGAGGAGACGGAGGAGGTTCGTCGCGGCGCGGTTGGCGTTGGCCATGCTGTGGCGGATGAAGTCTGGGTGGAGTTTGCCGCGGAGCAGGGCCTCTGCTTTTTCAAAGGCCGGCAGGAGGGCTGAGGGGTGCGTTGTGGAGGATGTTGCTTTGAGGACGGCGGTGCGGTCATCTTTTGTGAGGTTTAGACGGCGTGGAGCGGTAGCGTGGATGTAGTGTTTTGTTATGGCGTCGATGTCTGCGCGGAAGGGTTGTGATGATGCTGGTGCTGGAAATAGGGTGTTAGTGAGTTTTGTTAAAGATCCGGTCATGCATGATGGGCCATGGAGTATCCGACTGACAATCTTACCTTGTGGAACTGTGGCCCCTTCCTCCTCTTGCTTTTCACCATCTTTGAGAACGGTTGCCCTGGGATGAGAGAAATTCGTTGCCGAAGATGTGTCGCGCGTATGGTTCCCTCCCGCCTTGGCCTGGACGAAACTGCTATCCTCGTCGAGCATCTCGAGGATATTGCTCACTTTACTCGAGTTCTTTGCCCTCCTCTCCTTGGAAGTGAGCTTCCTGCCGCGGTCCGGATCCCAGCGCGGCGCAAGAGCACGCTGCTCAGGCGCAAGAGTCGTCCACGAGTGGACGTAGCCGCAGTACCAGAGGAAGAATTGCAGCGGTTCCGCGTCCTGCTCGACGTAGACTAGATAGTCCACAAAGTCGTTTAGTGAGCATGGCTGCAGATCATACGGCTGTTAGTAAACTTTTCCTCTTGACTACCCGTCGCCTCGAGATCGAGTGCGCCAAGTGGATATCGCTCACCGATTCCGTGTTGTTCCTGATCACTTCTTCAAAGGCAAGCTGGGGCGGAATCCACTTGTCTGTTCGCTTCGCGCGGCGCCGGTAGCGCCGGCAGTCCTCGTCCATCACCGGCGGGCGCCATGGCCGCTCCGGGCCGGGAGTCTGATAGAATCTGAGCGACATGTCGTTCCACCCTTCTAACGCCGCTTTACTCTGTTGCTCGCGGTCTTACAGCTCGTGTGTAAGTACGGAACATGCAGACGTGGGAAATACGAGGTGGATGAGCCACAGACTCGAGATTCGAGAAAGAAAAAAAGGGCTGCCAAATAGAGTCTCTGTCCAGTCTGACACTCAGACCTCTCGGGGATCCGGTATGGGGGTGTGTGTGTGACTATGTGCGGTGCGGAAGGGCGGGTGGGCTGGCCACACCTTTGTATAATACGAAAGGAAACGAGAAACCAGGGATCCAACAGAACAAAACACTAGCTTCGAGATGTTGCGTTTGGTGCGCGCCGTGCGCAAGGCCTGCAGCGGGACGAAGAAAAGAGCAGACCGCCTGTTCCTGCATGCCGCATCCGCAGCCCGCGTCTTTTGCCCCCCTCTCCTTCCCAGCCGCGCTCTGCCTCAGCTTCGTCCGACACGGGAGAGAGAACTTGGCTCGGCCCCCAGATAATGACATGGAATGCAGAGAAAGAGCATGCGTGTGTGTGTGACAGAGGGACCTAAATACCGGCCCACCGATGCAACAGAACCACGCGGCGTAGACATCTTGCGCGGTAAGGGAGGGGGGTGCCCGGGTTGAACATGTCTGTGACCCGTCTTGCTCCCCGGCCGGGAAGTGCTGCAGGTGGACGGGCTGGGTTTCTTGGTGGTCATGTTTTCCGCATCACGGCTTGTGATATCTTTTCGCGGCTTATACGGCTGGCAGCCATAACAAGAGCCGCGGAAGTGAGAAAGGTGGCAGAGGGGACAGGCATCAGCTTCGGCGGATGCCGGCAAGGTGGGGCATGCCTCTGTCCTGCTTGCTTTCGCTTCTCCCTCATGATCCTCCTCGCGTATCGGGGCTCTGGGGACTCGGGAGGGGTCGCGTGTCCGCAAGACTGACATGAGAAGAGACGGGACGGTGAAAGAAAGAGGGTAAGAGGTCGCGAGCGCGATCCAGGCTCAGCCCGGGAGGTTTGCGTGCCGGGGGAGAGGGAACGAGTGAAACGTGATATAGCAAATATAGGGTACGATTCCCACTTGCAAGTTGGAGGGAACGAATGATACAGCAACCAAACCAGCGGAGGAGTGTAAAAAAGTTGCAAAGTGAACGACCAGCCAGCGTACTCTCTGACTCGATCTGATTTTGATGTAGACAACTTGCTCCTGTACTGTAGCGTTCGATTCGTCCCTCGTGTAAGCTCAGTTGGAGGAACGAAACGAACCAACCTGAATAGGCATGGGAAGGAACGACGGTATTGGCAGCCCTCCCTCCCGCACTGTCACTTGAAGTGGCATGTCCTGCGTTTACTGCGTCAGCTTGGGATGTCCCTGGTCAGAGACCCCTGACAGCGGTTCCACGGATTGTCGTGTGGTGTGTTGTATCCAACTGGCACCTGCGTCTGCCCATCTGTTTTGGCTGATTCTGACTACCGGTGAGGATGTACTGTGTAAGAGGACAGAGACCGGCAGAACCCGACGTGGGTAACAATAGCACCGTCGAGAAGGTGAGGCCAGAGCGTCGCGGTCCCTCGTCAAAAAAGAGAGCCGCAGTCCACATGACATGAAGGGGGCTGCTGGCCTTGTTTCAAGGGAACGTGCGGAAAGATGGTGAGGTTGAATCACTGGCACGGCGGAGGAGGAGGCGGGACTGGGAGACGAAAGAGATGGAGTCGGACGGCAGACTTGGAGTCGGGACGTAAGGAATAACGGGTGCAAGCAAGGGCAAAAAAGGATGCCCCGATTGGCTCCACGGCGTGGCATCAAGCTATGTTTCAGAATGTTCATCCTGTCCCGTCTGCCTCTCTCCCCCACTCCCCGGGGCGTGAGACGAAGGTTCCTGAGAGCTCCGGTCCCCCGTCATCTCCACGGCAGAGCCGGGCACTTGCCGAGAAATAAGCTGGGCCAGTCTGATCATTCATTGGATGAGCCGCACACTTTTGTTGGCCGGTCCCGGGTCGGTGAGATCGTCTGCTGGTGTTGCGGCTGATGTTATCATCACAACAGCCGTAAAAGGACGGCATATTACATGTGTAAGTATGCTCGGCAGACGGGTTGCCTGATATCTGCAGATTTATGCCACTATTCCTGTGCAGAGTGAATTCCGTAAGTTACGCATCCCCGCGACAAAAGCGCATGGCAGATGATGCCGTTGTGCAGGATTGATCGACCGACTGACATGCGCGCAATGCTGGCATAAACCTCGACCTGCCGCTATATGACAAGAGAACAAGATTAATCACATGGAATCTCGAAAACAAGAGCTTTAGTAGGGAAGACAGAACATCGCTTCCAGGAAGAAGGCGCTCTCGTTCTCGTTCTCTTCCCTCGTTACGCTCTTTTCCATCATCATGCCAAGTCCAACAAGTCATGTTCCCGCGACTCTCTGGCTCGGGATATCCCACTCCAGTTTCCACTATGGGTATTTTTAGCAACGAAGGACGAACCAGACGTCCATGTGCCGCATCATCCAACAAAGCCAAGAGAGGAAGAAACCGAAAAAAAAAAAAAAAAAAAAAAGGTCGAAGAAACAGTGGCAGATGCTGCTGTCACCATCACCACCACCATCACCAAGAAGTTGCCCTCACCCTCACCCGACATAGCGGACATTCCTTCCTCCCTCAAGCACATACGACCACACCCATCGGAAAATTCGGGATCCCGTCCGCTCTCCCATAGACAAGCCGATGAGGGCCAGATCAGTAGTTGAGTCGGTGACGATCAGCGAATACCTGGTGTTGTATGTTTTTGTTTTGTGTCTTCTCTATACACTATTTTAACCGGCCAAGGAGGCAGGCAGATGGGTAGGTTCCATGACTATGTGGGTTGCAGTCGCAGAACCGGTGATCAGATCGCCCAGCATGCGTGGCCTACAGTGATCCAAGCAATTGTGGAAGGAAAATCTGGAGAGAGAAAAAGAAAGAGAAATAGTAAAGATTTGCAGATCATTCTTGGGTGCTCGGACATTGAGCAACGCCCCATACCTACTCACCTACTCCCATCAACCGCTCGGATCCACGGCTATTCAGCTGTACCTTACTCCGTACCGTGGTACGTGTAAAGACTCTGCAATTCTTTGCATCCTCTTACCTAGAAAGGCAAGAGTTTGTGAAAACTTCAGTCTGATCTTTTCGTTTTCCTTCAAAACCCACAGCCACACTCTCGTCACGTCACCGTCCCGACGAGGGGATGAAAGTGGACAACAAGCTTCAGTCAAGCACAAGTCAGCAAGTCAGTCAAGGGAAAAGAAAAACCTCATGCAGGTGCTTCTAATGCTTCTCCAGTTCGTCGTGGACTCCTCGACTGCCCCCGGTTTGTCGAAATGGTGTCCCAAAACAGGGACGAAAAAACCGGGTCGCCTCATCATCAAAACTCTCTCCTCCTACTCCTCCCCTTCCAGTAACACGCCAATGTAAGGCGCACACACACACGGCACACAAGGCACAGAGGCCTTTTGCTTTCCATTCCATCCCTTTTTTCCTTCTCTTGGCAGAAACCTCTGGCCCCGACCAAGGCTTCTTCCCACCGAACGCCGACAACGATCCCCAGTATCCCCAAACGTGAAACGTCCCCGGCCATCCCACCCAGCCCGCGATACCGAACCTCACATATCGCCCAATAACGTCACGTCCAAGTCTCAATAGTAGAAATGGAATCTGTACCAAAGAACACGAAGGGGGCCGTCAAGCTGGGACTTTGAATTTGTACATACGTCATCATAGACTCCTGTCGAAAATAGTCTGGTTTGTCACCCGTCGTTGGTGTAAGTGCTCGAAAATTTCCTCTAGACTTCACTTTCATCGTACACTACTTTTTTAAGTAAAACAACTACATTGCCAAAACCAACCAGCATATGGATTTATGTATTGCTATCAAGCTGAGGTAACGAACGATTACAGTTTTGACTGTGAGGACTCGGCATAAAGGTAGTTTGACAGGCTCCCTCCCACTCCCAAGTCTACACACACCACCGACCTGTCACCTTTCTTAACACCAAGCACTAAGCCCAAGATGACACCTCTCACCTTGGATCATCGCAGGAACCGAAAGACTCAAGCCATCGACACGTAGACACATCTCCAAGTATACCCCCATGGACAATCACACAAGGCAGCCCGTCGTGCCCATCCAGGACGAAACCCTCCTCGATCTACAAAAACAAAGTCCGTGCTAGGAGTTATAAGTGATGTGACAGCCCGTCTGACGTGAGGCCACCTACTAAACGAAGGAGCAACCAGAAAATCCCCAAACTATCAAAGGCAGGATCTTAGATTGCGACTGGCTCCAGAGATCCAGGATCTCAGCCACATTCTCTCCCCTGGTCGTCTCCCGTTTGCTGTCTTGCCGTGATGTTCAAACATCGACGACCGCTCAAAGTACCCTCATTCCAATTTGGGTAAGTAGCTCCCCGGTCTATAACCCCTCTTCCGGAACCTCCTTAGCCTATCCCAACTCTTACGGCACCAGCCCCTCAAACACGTGAAGTAGGAAGACTGCCGTCGAGTACGCCACGCGGCTGCCTGGAACGGAAGAAGAAATGAAGCGGCATGGCCGGCCGTAGCTGTAAATCTCTCTCACAAAGCAACGCTCTTATTCTACGCACATTTAAGCAAACGCTTGAAAACTGTGCTCGGCAACATGAAAGGCTTCAATGCCATGGTGGGAGAGCGAGCTTCCGAGTAATTACCCGGTAAACCTATCCGGCAAAGCTGGACCATCAAGCTTTTTCCTGCGTCATCGCATGTCCCCAGCCCCAGCCACAATCTCCTTCTTATTACCTCCCAAACGCAGTGCGACTCATTTTACCCTAGATTCTACTGTCTCGTTCAGGGAGTAGTAGCTCCTTTCGTAGGAGCAGAATTGGGTCATCGAATCACGTGCGGTATATGATGTCGTTGGTCGTGGCTTGTTTGACGTCCGCGATGCTATGATGCCCCCCTCTGATGTTCGACATACATGATGGCGTTCAATCCAGAAAGACTCACAAGAGCATTTCCAGAAGGGCCATGCTTGTGCCGGCAATAGCCAGCAAGATTTTCTCAAGAGTCGCGTGAGCTAATTCAGCCATGCTGGTACGCACTTGTATGGTCATCGAGTTCCTTGTGAAGGGTCTTCCAGATATCGTTGCTCGAGGAGTATACTTGGATGCGCAAAGAGAATAAGTACGGATTCCTCAATTACGACAAGCACTAAGGCCGATTAGATCCATACCTGTGGTTGATAATCTCCATCAACCGTGGCATCTGGCGAAGAACCCTGTACGGAATGATCAACGAATGGTTGATGCCCCGTCCGGGTTCGTATGTAGTCCGCTATAAAGACAGTGCCAATGATCATCCAGATTGCAAGGACGGCGTAGACGAAATTCACGAATGTAAGCCATCTCGGCAGGTGGATGGTGCGGCCATGGGGTTTAGCCGCTGTATGATGTTTCTCGGGTTCGTGATGAGTCGTCTCTTTCGGGGCATGCTTGGGAGTAGTCACGGGGATAGTCTCGGTGAGAGGACAGTTGCTGTTGTATCTAAAGAAAGTGCAAGACATGATGCCGGCGCTGCTAGTCGAAGCTTGGTATTCGTTGATTTATTGAGGAAATGTTGCTCATTGAAGGATGCCAGGTATTGGGATAGAGCGTATCTCGATGATTTAGAAGCCTCGGAAGGATTGCAATGACGAATGGAAGATGCAAAGAATTCCGCAAACAGTCACGATGAAGTACGTCAGTCTCGGAGGAGAGGCATCCCTAGACCCATTGTTGAGCTAATGAGAACCTCCTTCCTCTTAACCCCAGAACCTTTGAAGCAGTTGCAGAGGGGATCACTTGCTGAGATACTAGACCCCCGCGTGGCAGCAACACATAAATGCAGTTACTACGGACTCGAGTCCGTCGATGTCATAATTTGAAGATGTGTGGAGGAAGCAAGTAGGCACAATTCGATCGGGAATCGGTGTCTATTGGGTTGGAAGGGGCTCTTGCCGCCCTCTTTGTCAAGATCTCCCAAGAATACCTCTCTCCGTCTTGGACTCTGACAGGGTATTATTAATTAATTCATCTCCATCAAACTTCCCAGGAAATCGACAATCAAGGGAGCCATGGTGACGACTTTCTCTCCCGGCAGAACACCTTTTTTCCCAGCAATGTAGAGCAAAGTCGATCGAACCCTTTGCAAGTCTAAAAACCAGTCTCCATACGCCCGTCCTCTTGCCATCAACGCCATGTAAAAAAGCCCTGCTTCAATACGAAGCTTCCGTGTATTCGCAAAATGGGGTATAATCCATAATCCAATCCGTCGTAAAAGTGAATGCACAAAATGTACAGAAAAAGAAAAGTTTTGGTGGTCAATTACATCCACACGGTGAAGAAGATCATGACACCAACCAAGCCAACAGCCATGCCAGCGATTTGCTTGGTGCCAGATCCCGAAGGTCTCTCGGGAGCCGAGGAACTAGCGGATTGTGTGGGAGCTGCAGAAGCGCTGGTGCTTGAGCCCGAAGTCACTGATGCTGTCGGACTTGAAGAAAAGCTGCCCTTAAACGTCTCTCCAAGAGTGGGAAGTTGGACATCTCCATCCACCAACCAACCCCCCGTGGCTTTGGGACAATTGCGGGTGGAAACGCTTGTCGGGTTGTAGTTTGACTTCGCGACTCCGGAAGGAGTGATGGTAGCCCATTTAGCTTGCAAATTCTGGAACTCGGGGGATATGGGAGTCGGGGTGCCCTTGCGGGTAAAACCATCGTACACGTCGTCAGCGGTGATGGTCTTGGAGACTTCGGGTCCGTATGACACGATGCCATATCGGTTCTCCTCGTATATCCATTCGTAAACCATGGCTCCACTCCAGTCATTAACCATTGGCTGGCTGAAGATGGCGTTCTGATCGTCCCATGTACGCGGGCCTTGGCCGGTGATGCATCCCGTTTCGGTGAAGAAGATGGGCACAGGAAACTTCTCGGCCATGGCTTGCAGGTTTGTGTATCCCGAGGTCTGGTACGTGTTTGGGTCGCACCACTCGTACGAGTTGAGTCCAAAAAAGTCAATGTTGTTTTCGGGCTTTCCGCCACAAGTCAGGTAGTCCTGAAGCATGGGTCGCAACTCAGCAATGTCGGCCGCAGAGTAGCCGACGGGTATCTTGCGATAACCCTTCTTGTCGCGGTAGGCCTTCATGTCTCGCGCGGCAGCCTTCATGAAAGGGGCAACCTGGGACTGAGTGGGAAGGGCAATGATTTCATTGCCAATAAAGAAGCCGAGAACGTTGTTGTACTTCTCAAAGTTGTCCATCACCTTGGCGTACGCGTTGAACTGCGTCTCGTTCCAGTAAGGCGTATTCTGAACCTCTTGTTAGTCAAAGGACGCGAGCAGGAAATGTGACAGAACAGAACGGCACTGACAGGAAGAATGTACGAGTCAAAGGTGTCCAAGTCGATGAGGGTGTAGATGCCGGCCTTGTCAAAGGCTGCCATGCACCCGTCGTGGTTTGCACTGGAGTCGACGTGATAAACGCGGATTGCGTTGGTACCCAGCGTCTTCATGAGGTTGGCGTCGCGGGTGCATTGATCAGTATCAACCAGTGGGTCATCTGGACAAGCTTTTGCGTTAGACAGTGGGCTTTGTAAGTGTTCATTCAGACAAGCTGGGCTAACCTGGTGTCAATTGGTATGCGATGCCTGTGATTGCGTCAGTCCCGAGATTTCTGGCCAAAACGGCAGTGGGTGATTGGCGTACCTTTCATGAACCATTGCTTGCCGCTCTCGTCGAAGAACTTGCTGCCTACAATCTCGATTGGCGCAACAGCTGCGGCGGTGCCAAGCAATAATGCCGAGACGAGCTTGGAGACTCGCATGATGAAGGAGTAATCGCAAGGAAATCCTTCTGATAAGCTTCAACTAAGCAAATACAGTAATGATGAGGATGCTGATGCCTTAGTACTGCGGTTCCCAAGAAAGCAAAAAGACGACCAGGGGTCTGTTGATGATGTTGAGGATTGAGAGTTTGGATGTAGGTCGTTCCAACGGAAGATATCGAATTAATGGCGAGGGAAACCTCAGCAAGGCGAGTGCTGGAAGAGCAGGTGCTGCTGCCAGATGAGGAAAGTAATGACTGTTGGCTGTGGTTGCCTCTTTCTTCGCACGTCTTCAAAATTCGTCGGGTTCCTTCCTTTCGATTTTGTCGAGTTTTTGTCCTGCACCACAACCGCAACCAATTCCTTCTTTCGCGATTTACAACGTCGTACAAAGCAACACACTCGCACCGCAACCGACGTCCGTTCTAGGCGGAAACGACAGAAAGATCCAAACAGGGCAGCAACCGTGTTCAAGGTCGTCAAACTAGGTCGAAGGAAAGGGAGTTTGCCTGGCGAGTATCGTGGATAAGCAACAGCCTCGCATCAAAAAGATGATGGGAACGCCTTGCCGGGGGGGATGTGGAGGGAAGCTATCGATTTTATTCTCCCAAGCTCGCTGTTGCAGCTCACCGCGGGAGATACTCCGAACAACAAGGTCCTGCAGTTTTTTCCCTCTCTTTTCTTTACCCCTGTCGGCCTTCTTACAAGTCACATCGTTCTTCTCTTGCTCTTTTTGGAATCCCATCCCACCTCTCCACACACGTGGAGTGCCAAACGGATGAGAAAACTGCCTAGGACGAGGAGCTTGGAGCTCGCTCTGGTGCTAGCAAGGAGCCACGGAGCCCGGTCTAGGGTGGGAAACGACGGCGGCAGGGGTGCGTTAGGTGCGCAACGAGGGAAAAAAAAACGAACCAGGAGTTCAAGCTTGAAGCAACAAGGCCGACTGCATGGGTCTGGATCAGTGGAGGTGCGCCATGTTGTGCCATTGGCGGCGGGCCAGGGGTGAAGACCGCCTATCTTGATTGTCGCCCGGCCCAAGGGTGGTTCAGAGTCACAAAGTCTTGACTCTGACTGGCCCCGACACCCTGGCCTTTCTCACTCGACACACAACCGACTCGACATGGACTGCCTGCTGCAGACACCGGCGGCGTTGGTCGGCCTCATTGGGGGCAACGCGGGTGTGTGATGCAAGACGCAAGACCAGAAGAGGAGTCACCCAGTAAGCAGGCTGAGTCTACAAGACGCCGACGCGTCTTTTCTTGGTCTTGGTTGACAGCTATGACATCTCTCCTCCAGGGCTGATAATTCTCTTCGGAATCCTTCAATTCCTCCCGCTCTCCGCCTCCAGAGGCCACTGCAATCACAGATACAACAAGCATATCCCAATCGATCAAGAAAATAACCTCACAGGGTCGGCACGGAGTTGCGGGTACTACTCCTAGACTCTGCCCTTGTTTCAATCTCCAGACTACAGACAATGAAGACACAAAAGCAAACCCGGCCGTCGTTTCTTTCTTTTGCCCCCACGGCTACAAACAACATGGCGCCATCCACCCGAAGCCACGCCGTCTTTGACGCCTGCCCAACCAGACCGGCTCCTTCACTGTCCCAACCCGAAAAATAGCCCGCCACTTTTTGTCGCCTTTCACTAGCCTCGCGTAGCCACACTCCACGACGTCCATCGAGCATGAGTCGGGCACCCGGGAAACGGACCGAGCTATTCTGGCTGATGGGTGGCTGCTAATACTAGGCTGTCAGCCAGAGATTTAGTGCTCCGGCAGGACACAGCCAACGACAAACGGGGTCGGCGACAGCGAGGCATTCAACTCGCCACATTGCCTCGCCTCTGCCATCTTCAAGTTGGATGCCTCTTCCCAATTGCGATGACCAGTGCCAGGGATTAGGGTCTCCCCAACGAACCGCTTGTTGACGGCTGGTCCTTGCTCGTCAAGCTTTCGACGCAACGGCGAAAACTCCATCCTCGCCCCCCAGCTCACCACGGCTAGCCACGACGCGATTTACTTGCTTAATGCCCTCTGCTTCCTCACCGGCTCGCCTAGACCACCTTGCGGGGATACCTCTCTAGATTAGCGATGGTCATCCTACAGGGTGCGGCTGGAAATTGGCCTTTTTCCCCTCTTCATTTCCTGTTCGCGGTGTATTCGACAGCCCCCAAGGTCGAGGGCGGCTACACGGCAGGAAAAGGCGGCCTAGCAATAATGGCTTCCGGATAATGAGTATGACGCAACACTCTGATCGCAGCGTCTCATTGAAAATCCCTCTTGGCCCTGCAGTCAGGCAAGCGTTGACACGAACCAGGGTAAGCTTAACCCCTGGTCCCGTTCTCTGCCTGTGGACCTTATCCGGCGAGGGTTGCAACGGCCACTGCAAAAAAAGAAGTGAAAAGCCTGGGCTTCTGTTTCGTTCGAGGGACACCTTGTCCGCGAGTCCACTGATCTGAAGAGCAGGGACCCAGGGAGAGGGTTCGCAAGGTGCAACAGACAGAGAACGAATTGATGTCACCTGTGAACCCAGGCGTCAGCTTCGTTGCATTACGGCACTTTGACACCCTGGGCGAATCCGTCGTTGGATCCCTCCGAGGAGCCTCTTGGCCGCATTTTCTCTGCTATTGCCCGTTGCAAATGGTGCGTCGTAGCATTGAAGAAGGTGGCATGCCGCAGAGAGGTGATGCAATGGGCCGTC